GGGTGAGAATATAATGAAATAAGTATTTCACTTCTTTCCTAGAAGAGCAATTAAACTAATTCTATGAGGGCAAGGGTTAAATTAAAGGCACAGCCAAGCAATGAGTCTCTAATGGAGGATAAGGGACTAAGGCCAGATGACTTTTTCTATCTCTTTCCTTCGCTGCTTTTCACCATAATTTAGCTCTTCCCCCTCCTTCTGATCTATCCTGACCTGGGAAAGTGGAGGCGATAAAGTTTGGCAGAATGTATCTAAGCCAGGGATAGCAAATTCAACTGCCTACAGGGGCCAGGCATAAACATAGTGAAGTGCTCCAACTGAAGGAATGTGGGTCCAGTGTTGCCAAATCTTAGTTCTTTAGAACACCAGAAATCTAGATTTTTATTTAAATTTTAGAATGTTGGCAACTAAATAAATTAAAAACATAAGAAAACAGCATGAATCAAACAAAATATACCAACAATCAGCTTGTGACCTCTAAGTCACAGAGAAACCTGGACTAAATGAAAGATCAAGAAAGTTTGGAAGGTCAGGAAACCTCATGTATATTACTTTGCTCAGAAAACACCTGTTTTTAATATCCCACAACCAGATCTGAGAGAAGGGAAAATATTTACTGGGTTTCTCTAATCTTTCCAAGGAATAACAGAGCAAGTCATTCCTTGCCACACTGGGAATAAGAATTTCAAAGATTGTTTATTTGAATGGTACCTAACAAATTATCATCAAAACAGTACTTATTTTGGGGAAAAAATGGGAGAAACTCTAGGTAATGAGAGAGTAACCACTCTATGCTGGACTGTGTTTAATATGATATATTATTTATTTGTTTACTTATTTACTGTCTGTTTCAGACACAGTCCTAGGGCAGGACTTGACTTTGTACATCATTGTACCTGCCCTCCATTGCTTGACATGCAATAACTATTTCTAAAATGGAAGAATGAATCTCAGTATTTTTCATTATACAGACAAGAAAACTAAGAATCAAAGAGAATGTGCTATTTATTTAATATCATTCAGCTAGCAAAAATAAAGGTAGGAAATGAACCCAAGCTTCTGTCTTCTTTCCACTAATTTTATTATCTGAAAATAAATTAACCCAAATATTTAAGCCTGTCTTTTTGTGCTATTGGAAAGAAGTGCCCTCAATGATCCTTGAATTCCTCTTTTCACATCTTACCCTTCTGAGTTTAATGGCAGCAGGGTTTCCATCCAAGCTTTCAACAAAGCTAGGAATGCATTTTCCATGTAGTACAATGAAATTTTTAAAAATCTATCCAAACCTAGAAAGGAAAGACTACTAGAAATTCCTAATCATTTAATTAGATTATTTTTACTTTGTGCTGAAAAAAACCCTGTGGACCTATTGATTTTCTCTAAGTGCCATATTGCTATATAATCAATAAAACTGATAAAAGCAAGGAATAAAAGAAACAACAACAAAAATCCCTGAGCCTGGTGCAGTTGATATTGCAAACTAAATGTGCTGCTGATGCATAAATTCGTATGATCCATTTGGAAAAAAAAATAGCAACATAAAATGAGTCATAAAAATGTTCATACTCTATAATACAGCAATCTCACTTCTGGGAATTTATCCTAGACAAGCTATTCAACAGATGAAAAAAACTACATATACACAAATGTTCATTGTATCATTGTCTCTAATAGCAAATAACACAAGAACAATAAAAAGATGAAAACAAAATACATGAGAAAATGGCTTAGTAAATTATAGTACCTACTGAAGATAAATTACTCTTCAACTGTTAAAAATAATAGTCATGAAGACTAATACAGAAAAATGTCATGGTGTTGAATGAAAAGCAGAATACAAAAGGATTTGTATATGATGGTATCAGCTTTGTCAATAGTTATGTCTCCAAGTAGACAAGAGCTGAAAGGTAATATTCAGACATGCTAACAGCATTGTAGGGTGTTATGATTTGAGAGTTTATAGTTACATTTTTCCAAAGTTTTCTTTAATATTTTACTATCTTTTCTATTACATATAATTTCTGAAATAAATTTGGATTTCTGGGTTTTTCTCAAACTTAGAAAAGAACAGAAGTCATGGCTCTTCCCATCTTAAATTAATAATTCTCTACTTGAAAAAGGAAAACAACATATTTCCAAATGTCCAAATCTAAAGTGGAGAGCAGGAAAATAAGGCTGGACCTATCTATGCTGTTAGTGCCATCAGAAGGACTGCTGATAAACTCAGGAAGCCAGAGGAGAGGAGACGAGAGAGGAACCACCAGGGCCCTCTGCAAGGTGGCAGCATGTTCACAAGGCCACCTGGAGAAAGGAATGGGGTACCAAAAAAGGTCAGCACCACACTTACCTGCCTCACCAGTCTGCTGTGTGGCATCATCTCCCTCTGTTCATTTCACAGGTATTTTCTGAGGCCCTGACTCTTTGGGGGATGCCCAGATATCTGAGATGTCACAAAGCCCTGCTCTACTTCAAAAGAGATTATCATAGAGAAGGAGGCCTCTCAGAGGTCATGTCCAGGGTCATGCCCCAAGTACTTGGTGGGGAAGGACAAACCACCTAATGCTTATTGCCTGGTTGCTACTCAACTTTGCTAATCCACAATTCAGTTTTGCTCTCTGAGAGCTGGTCAACCTAGGGATACTGACTCACACTGACAAACCCCACATGAGCCTTATGTTAAAGCTACATGATTGCCTTGGGAAGGGGAGGGAGCCTGCTAAAAAACCAAAGCCAGACAAGGACCCAGGTCACTCACTCTATGCTAGAGAACAAAACCACCAGTGAAAAAGAATGTTAAGTGAGCACAGAACCTAACACGGTGTTAGGCCTTCTATTCAGGTGGATGGCCTGACGGATAGGATGCAGCTCTTACATGAGCAAAGAACATGGCAAAACCATCCAGAAACAGTGTCCCAGTACCCAGAATGCTACCTCCACTCCCTGGACAGTCTCAGTCCTTGCTCCAGACCCTATTTACAGGCACCTGATAGTTACCTTTCATTCCCCGAACTCCACCCAGCTTACCTCCATTCACAGACCATCTTCCCAAGGGTAGTTTTCAGGTAATTCAGCTTATCACTGGTATGCTTACTGGCCAGTTTTGATATCAAATAGAGGATGATGTCTTTTTAGACCTTGGCCCCAACTCTCAACACACCTCTTTCTCCTGGTCACAGGCAGTATGTGATTAAGGACTGAATGAGGTATGATCGCTTTTTCCCTGTGTGAGGTCAGAGAGGGAGTGGTCACTGAGGTAAAAGCAGAAGATCTGGAGAGAGAACTGAAGAGTAGGCCCAGCCTTTAAATCAGAGCAGCTCTGTAGCCTCTTGCAAGTCACTTGACCGTCTGTGCCTCAATTCTCTTATTCATAAAATTCTCTCATTCTCTCTCTGGTAGTGCTGGCCTCTCAGGCAGACGTATTTTGTAAACTGCAATGTGTATCTGGCTGTCACCACTGTGGGCTGAAGTGTTCTGGGAGGAAGCAGAAATGAGCCTTTAAAGTGGAGGAAGATTTGGGGTATCTCATCAGGGAACCATGAGAAATGGCACCAGCATGGGGAAAAAGGCAGAAGGCATGTACAGGTTGGCTGCAGTAGGAAGTTTGCGTAGTGGAGAAGCTGAGGTTAGTTTGGAAAGGCAGGTGGGCTGTATTCCGCTGGTAATATGAAGCTACTGAACTTTTTGATGAAGTAAGTGAAAGGATGAAAGTCATGTTTTAGGAAGATTAACCTGGCAGAGGTGTGAAGGATGGAGGGATTGAAGAAGGGCTAGGATCCAGGCAGGGTGATCTCAGGAGGTTGTCTGCAGATAAGACACAATGAGGGCCTTAATAAAGGCAGTGGCACTAAGGCTTAAAAAGAGGAAGCAGATTTGAGAGATACAGAACAAAAGGATATGGTGGCAGTGTATTAGAGGAAAACAAGTGTTGGGGAGAATTTTCAGGCTCCCCTGACACTATCTAGGTGGACAATGATGCCACTCACCAAGATATAGAATAAAGGAGAAGGCACCAGGGAGCAGGAAAGATCAAAGTCTTTGAATATGTTTCTCTAGTTTGTCTGTACAATGTCCAAGGAATACTAACCAGAAATCAAATGAATATACAATAGTGGAACTCAACAACAGAGATGTGAACTGAAGCAATTGAAGATGAATTCACCTAAGAATATTGTGTACTGTGAAAAGTTGAGAGGGGCAAGGACAGGAGGCTGAAGAATATCAACGTTTAAATGGTGAGCAAAGTTAGAAGAACCTGAAAAGACGACTAAGAAATAGTCAGAAAGGTAGAAGGAAGACAAGGGTTTCTCTAGAAAGTAAGTCAATGGGATAAAGTACAGCAGAGAGAACAAGCAGTATGTGGAACTGGAAGAGTTCATTCAGTTTGGTATTTGGTGTACTGTTGACGGGTAAAAGCAATTTCACAGAAGTTGTAGGGCTGAGAGCTAGATTACAGTGGATTCAACAGTTATCAGGATTTGAAGACCAGTCTTTGGGGGAGCTTGGCTGTAAAGGAAAGAGCAAGGGTAATAGCTAAAGACAGGGAGAATTGAGGATATTTTAGCTAAAATATATTTTAGTTTAAGGGAACGAAGCAGAGAAAATACCACACACCGAGTAATTGAAAGAATGGGATTTTTGAACATTGGTGGAGACTTAAGCCGGGAAGAAAATCTCTTCCACTGGGTGAGGAAAGGGAGGTGAGAGCAGGTGCATTCAGTCACTCAATAATTTGTTGAGTATGTACTACATGCCAGGAACTGGGAGTGCACGGATGAAAGAAAATAACCCTTGAGTCGTTTAAGAATTTGAGTCCTTAAAGGACTTCAAGGGAGCAGAGCGAGACACCGGTGGTCACACAGGGGACCAGAGTGCCTCGCGGCTCCTCACTGAGGCCGGGGGACAAGCAAGCTACCGCTACCGCTACCGCCACCGCCACCGCCGGGTCCGAGCAGGCCACTAAAACTGAACGCTCAGGGCTGGGGCGTTTGGTGAGGAGCTGACACACGGTGGCGTAGGAGGGTTCCAGAGCCAAGGCATTATCACAGCGTCCCCAAGCCCCGGATTCCGCGACAGCGCTCAGCCTCCGAGCCTGAACGTACAACAAGCTGCACAGAGAAGCGCTACAGGCCGCCAGGGCCACCCGCACTTCGATATAAAAGCAAGGACGACCCACAAGAAAAGGAAAAGGAAAGACCCCTCAGCGGCGCGAGACCCAAGAGACGCAAGACACCGCACTTAGACACGGCCTCCCTGGCCGGAAGTGAGGAGCATTGGCTCCGCCCCCCGAGTTCGGTACCTCGCGAGACTTCGCGTAGGCTTCCTTCTTTCGTTTCGGCCGCCGACATGGTAGGTGATTCTTTTCGTTTCTCCGCAGGGTAGCTGGTTCAAGCTGCGCGAGTTCTGCTAGCGTTGCACCCCAGCCCTTGACCCCGACCTTAGCCCGGCATTCCAGGCCGCGCATGGGCGTCCTCAGGGCAGGGGTCTGGCCTGGGCGCGGGAGCCTGGGCCCGCGTGTTCGGCCCGGGGTTCGGGTCCTTGAGACACGCGGTGTCAAGGCGCTCGGGCGCCGCCCTGACGAGGCCTCACGGTCCCGGACCAGTTTATAACCTCAGCTTTACTGATTGCGCCAAAAGACAGACACTTGATTCCTAGGCCTCCAGGCCCCCGGCAGACTGACAGGCATCTCCCCATTCCCAACCAGCCTTGGGCCTTATAACCAAGCACCATTTTCCACACAGCCGTCCAGACTGAGGAAGACCCGTAAACTTCGGGGCCACGTGAGCCACGGCCACGGCCGAATCGGTAAGTGCCGCCTTCCCTAACTGGTTGGTTTTGGGCTCTCCTTGCTCGCTGCTTATCTAGCCAGGAGGTAGGTGGGTTTGAAGTGGGTTAGTAAGAGCTTTATGCGTTCTAGTCGGATTGATGGATACTGACTTTATTCGAGGATCCAGTTTTAGAGAATCTCAATCATTTGGGGATGAAAATTAAGCGGGGCACAGTATCGAATTGATTGAAGACGTGATGTACTGCCGTAGTTGTGGGATGTCAAACACTGCAGAGATGTTTGGCCATAGTCTTAGTGATTAACAATGCTGAAAGTCGTTGTAGACTGGGAACGGCATAAGCAAAGGCACAAAAGTGGCGAAACGCTTTTGCGAGAAATGGGCCCGAGAAGGCTGTGTTAGTCATGTAGCTTTGTATTCCTACAGGCAAACACCGGAAGCACCCGGGAGGCCGGGGAAATGCTGGTGGTCTGCTTCACCACAGGATCAACTTTGATAAATAGTGAGTGTTTATTAGATTGTGTTGAGACGGGCAGTTTCGGAGTTAGGGGCAGAAGGCTGGCTCAGAACATCTTTAATGGGAAGCAAGCCTCTTAACCACTCAAAACCTTGCCTGTTGCTGGCTTTTACCAGGTTAAAACGCTTGATGTGAAGGGAGAACTTGTCATCGAGACTAGAGTCACGCTTGGGTATCAACTATTGCCTTAGTGTGCTAGAGTCCTCGAAAAGTAACTGCTGACCTTATTCACTGACTGTGGCTCTCGTGGCACAGTCAGTCACCGGGTTAGTGACAGGCGTCAGGTTATATTCACTTACACAAACTAAGGGATGGTTTTTTAACTATTTGTTGAGAAGAACTCTGTTTTAGGAGTGTGTGTAATTTCCATATAATGCTGTCACGTGACCTAAGTTCTAGTCTTGGCACTGCCCCTTCCTCAGTGACTTACCCTGGTTCCACGAGATAAAGCTAGTCCAACTCCTGAAAATCTTTGGTGGCTTTTATAAAGATTTGTTTTACTCAACAAATAAATGGAGTACCTGCTGTGTCACTGTTCTACACCAGTGGACAACTTAACACTCTTGGAGTGGGGAGGGGAAATAAACTGTAAAGATCGATCATAAACACAGCTTCCTAATTGGAGTGAGATTATGAAAGTGGTTGCCTTCTCTTCTCAGTCACCCAGGTTACTTTGGGAAAGTTGGTATGAGACATTACCACTTAAAGAGGAACCAGAGCTTCTGCCCAACTGTCAATCTTGATAAACTGTGGACCTTGGTCAGTGAGCAGACACGGTTAAATGCTGCCAAAAACAAGACTGGAGTTGCTCCTATCATTGATGTGGTGCGATCGGTGAGTAAATGAAAAATTTTTGCCTTTATTTGGCAAATCCTTGCCTCTCAAAACTGGGTAATCTAATCTATTTGATCTCCAACCTAATGTTTACATACCTAGTTACCTACTAGATAATTCCACCTTTTGGTAAAATTCCACAGATGATACACTGACCAAAATTGAACTCTATAGAATTGTTTCAAGCAAAACATCTAAAGAATAATTTTTCTGCCCATTTATTCAGTTATTTCATTTTGACCTGAATGTTATTCCAAACAGTGGTCTTACTGCTCCTTTTACTCCCTGTTTGTATAGGTTTGCGTTTCTCGCCTAAGCTATTTATTGGCAAAATCTTGGCTGGCTCTGGTCTGTTTTACACAAGCCTATATGAGGCACAGCTCTTTACCCTTTGTGTTCCTTACAGAATAAAATCCTAGTATGTTTGTCATTTAAGGTCTTACATTATCTGAAGAGATGATTCCTCCCTTCCCCCCAAAGAAAGCATTTTTGTATATCATTTGGAGTTCTGGTTATTCTGTCAGCCTTTACTCTTATGGGTATGGTGGTTGTCTGAATCCTGCAGGGGGGCATTAAGTTGTAGATTGCCCTTCCCAGCCTACTTAACATCCCTTGAGCAATTTTGATGGTGAAGACTTGGAACATTGCCGGGAACGTGGTTTTCTTTTTTTTGATTATCAGGTGATAATTGATTAGGAGAGAGGGTTTGTGCTTTGCCCGAGACTAGAGTCACATCCTGACACAGCTCTTTGTCCTGGTGTGCTAGAGGCCTCGGAGAGAATCTGCTGGTCTTGATTCACTGGCGAGGGCAGTCAGTGCCCCCGGTAGTGCCCAGATCAGAAACATGCGTTCCTTGGCTCCTAGATGGAGTGGGTTGGCAATCATCTTTCCTTATACCCATGAGGGGGTTGTTACCAGCCTGTGGGGACCATAAACCCTTTTCTCCATTCTTCCAGGGTTACTACAAAGTTCTGGGAAAGGGAAAGCTCCCAAAGCAGCCTGTCATCGTGAAGGCCAAATTCTTCAGCAGAAGAGCTGAGGAGAAGATTAAAGGTGTTGGGGGTGCCTGTGTCCTGGTAGCTTGAAGCCACATGAAGGGACATTCATTAAATGATGATACGTGCTTTTCTCTTCTGGTATGAATGTAGGTTCTTTGGCTCTTCTACCTCCCACCCAACAGGTTCTAGGAATAGGGCCTGGGCTCCACTGCCAACTCCCTTCACAAATTGTGCAAGAGATAGCACCAGTGCTTAGAGGACTCGTCTGGTTACCTAACTTGGACCTTTTGTTTTATAAAGTGAGAGTGATACCTGTTGAAAACATACATTTTTGTCTTAGAGCTGAAAGGCCTGTTTGCACTGAATTATAATGCATTACAGCATTACACACTCACTCTTTTACACCGGAATTGACAAGACACCCCGAGTCTAGGGTAAGACAGTTTTTGATGGATCATGGCCTTCACAGGATTTTGATGGGTCACTTTCTATAGGGGGACCAGTAGAAGGATTGAGGCAGTTCTTTTAAGACTAAATTCCTGAACCTAAGGTTTTTCCATATGGCTTCCTCATCCTGGACCTCAAACCATTCTAGTTAGAAGCAAAATCTTGAAAATGAGGCCCAGCAACCTAAATTCTAACATACAAGGGCTTTTAAACATCGGAGTGGTTTGGATTCTGGAAAACACTTGTCAGGATTTATGGTTCCTGTGCGATAGGAGTCTTAATGTTCAAAGAAACACATCATGATAATGATTTTTCTTCTAGTTTCAAATGTATCTAGTAGAGAAATGAGGGAATTCATAAAGGTCAGAAACTAGGTTCGTATTTTCTAGGGTTTGTATCTCCTCCAGAACCATCAGGATGACTAGTGCAGATAGGACCCTCATTGATCTCAGGGTAAATTATAATTTGCTACAGTTCTTAATGAGTTCTTCCCAAGATTTTGAAAATTCCCAAAATAAGACTTGGAGTCTAGGACCCTGGCCAAAGTAATACATAAGATTGCACTTAAATCAACTAAAACTCAACTACAAGGATTAGTTGGGTGGAGAATTGTTAATGCTTATGGGTGCATACATGGACTGGGAACCATGGTTTTATGTGGGATAAATCTGTCATGACAACCTTCAGAGGACAATTGGGACTGTAACATATAAGGAAGGACAGGGAAACTTGATTGATTTGGGTGATGATAGAACTATCAGGAAGGTTTTATTCAGTTGGACAAACTAATAACTTGAGGTTTGCTCATTTGGATCATCTGGATTTGCATCTTCCACAACAGCTGATGGAGAAAGGTAAAAGTGATTGGTTTTTCCTGATGTATCTGTTGGAGGGCTTCTAATAGGGAAGCTGAGTCCATGGATCTAGAGAAGGTTGGTTGGTAGTTGAAATTAAGAGACTCAATTTAGTGTTGATTCCTGCTAGACACTGAAGGCATAGAAATGTATAAATGTGGTGTCCTAAAAGAGTCAGATGGCTTTTGAAATTGAAATCTAAACCTAACAGCTGTATGACTTAGGCTTAGTTCAGTTTTCTCATCTTTAAAATTTAGGTAAAGGTACCTACTTGAGGGTTGTGTGGCTTAAGTAAATGGAAGGCATACTAAAACATATTTGTTATTAGTAACATATATAAGTGAACTATTGGGGAGCAGACAGGCAGGCAACCTTGGTGTGATTAAGTCAATAAGAAAGTGATCCAGGGAAGGGGAAGAGCAAGCATGCATTTAGGAAACCAGTTTGGGTAGGCAAGGTAAGGTGAGATACCATGTGGGAAATGAACCTGGAGGGAATGATTACTCTGGCCAGGCTGTAATTTGGGGACTGGGCTACAGTGGGAAGCTGGAGGGGGGAGGACCAAGATAATGAGAATGGAAAAGAAGTGGAATTCAGAAGATACGGACTGGAAACTTGGTGACTGACTGCATTAGGTAGGGTGGTGTTGGCAGCAAAATGGTTAGACCTGGAATAGTAGGGTTTAGAGGAAGATTTTTGATCACTAGTTTTCCCTTAATGGAGTTAATTGTTGACACCTGTGGTAGCATCCACAACTGTCCCAAAACAGGACAGGGGTTCGTTGGGATAATATTCACCCCAATCCACCATAGAGCTGCAAATGATCATGCTAAATGTGAAAGTCACTAGTATAGCCATTCAAAATAGAGAAGACAGCCCAGATAATCATGCTATTCCATCTGGCCTGGTAAGGGGCAGCAACTGATACTATTTTGAGCTGCCTTATTCCAGCTTTCTCACCATTATCTATAGGTAATAGGACAGACGCTGATTCCTTTCCAAGTGATCCACTGCTGAAGGAAGCTGGGTGACTAGTGAAAAGCCCAAATAAATGAACACAGACTTAGTAACCACTTGGCTTGTTAATATGGAACCAAAGGCAAACATTGCATTCATTCAGCTTTATGTTGCAGTTGAGAGTGAAAGATGCCAGTGCTGAAATGCAAAACACAGCCTATGCATTGGAAACTTAATGAGATGGCCAAGCTTTGTCTAGCCTGTTTTGTTCACAAAGCCCCTGTACTGCCACTGTCTTTGCGATGGCCAGCAAGTACACAGGGTTATTAGCAAGGTCCTCCCATATATGAGAAGCAGAGCCTTATCAAGTGCCCTACTCACACAGTAGTCTTCAACCTTTTATTCACCTACCTCCATGATGGTGGTGAAAAATGGTATTGCTTGGTACATTAGGTTTTTATGTAAGCTTAAATTGCTAAGACTGTAATTTCAGGCCTGTGTATTTATACATGGACCTTGGAGCTGCAGCTATAGCTTCTGACTTAGGAATGTCTGCTTCGTAATTTGCAAAATTAGCTAAGTCGGATTTAAGTTTCCGACTTAAAGAGGCTACAGTGGGAAGCTGGAGGGGGGAGGACCAAGATAATGAGAATGGAAAAGAAGTGGAATTCAGAAGATACGGACTGGAAACTTGGTGACTGACTGCATTAGGTAGGGTGGTGTTGGCAGCAAAATGGTTAGACCTGGAATAGTAGGGTTTAGAGGAAGATTTTTGATCACTAGTTTTCCCTTAATGGAGTTAATTGTTGACACCTGTGGTAGCATCCACAACTGTCCCAAAACAGGACAGGGGTTCGTTGGGATAATATTCACCCCAATCCACCATAGAGCTGCAAATGATCATGCTAAATGTGAAAGTCACTAGTATAGCCATTCAAAATAGAGAAGACAGCCCAGATAATCATGCTATTCCATCTGGCCTGGTAAGGGGCAGCAACTGATACTATTTTGAGCTGCCTTATTCCAGCTTTCTCACCATTATCTATAGGTAATAGGACAGACGCTGATTCCTTTCCAAGTGATCCACTGCTGAAGGAAGCTGGGTGACTAGTGAAAAGCCCAAATAAATGAACACAGACTTAGTAACCACTTGGCTTGTTAATATGGAACCAAAGGCAAACATTGCATTCATTCAGCTTTATGTTGCAGTTGAGAGTGAAAGATGCCAGTGCTGAAATGCAAAACACAGCCTATGCATTGGAAACTTAATGAGATGGCCAAGCTTTGTCTAGCCTGTTTTGTTCACAAAGCCCCTGTACTGCCACTGTCTTTGCGATGGCCAGCAAGTACACAGGGTTATTAGCAAGGTCCTCCCATATATGAGAAGCAGAGCCTTATCAAGTGCCCTACTCACACAGTAGTCTTCAACCTTTTATTCACCTACCTCCATGATGGTGGTGAAAAATGGTATTGCTTGGTACATTAGGTTTTTATGTAAGCTTAAATTGCTAAGACTGTAATTTCAGGCCTGTGTATTTATACATGGACCTTGGAGCTGCAGCTATAGCTTCTGACTTAGGAATGTCTGCTTCGTAATTTGCAAAATTAGCTAAGTCGGATTTAAGTTTCCGACTTAAAGATAGACTTATTCGATGGCTAGCCCAAGAGCAGCCCAGCCCTGGAACGAAAAGCGTAAAGGCGCGCACCACCCGCGGTTGATGTGCAGCATCGGTGTACGGGGTCCCGGCGGCTCCAGCCCTGCGAGCTTGTCCCAGGTTTGCGCGGCGTTAGGCGTCTCGGCTCCTCCCTTAAGAGTCACTTCCGGAGCCTGTGAGGGTTTGGCTCCGGGGTTACGGTCTCCCACCATCCCCACAGCCGGCAGGCCCCGCCTCCTTCAACCATTTCCGGTAGAGACCAGCGTCGGCCCGTGTCACGCGACGGGGAAGCTTCCGCCGGAGGCGAGAGGTTTGATTCGGGTCCTGGTCCACGTGGGCTGTCAGCTCCCATCAGGGCGGAGGTCTCTGCCAGCTTTGCAGTCCTTCAGGGCCCGCTTCGGCTGCGCTTAAGAACAGGAGGTGTACTCTTTATGTACTCTGTCAAGATTGGGATTCCCAAACCTTAGAAGTAACAAAGTTGTCAAAAAGATGAGGATCGCGAACTGCGTGCAAGGCACCTGTGGCTAAAAAGAAATGCCTATCCACATGGAAATACTCCATGTGAAGTACAGAAAAATGAGCGAAGGCATTACCTCATGAATTGGGGGGGATAAGGGAGATGGTGTTTTGGTAGTTTAACCAAATGCGTATTATTTACTTACTGAAAGGCAGTATCAATGACAAACAATAGCTTTAAAAAAAAGTTACTGGTAACTTACCAGTGCTGAATAGTATTTTCTCTTGTTCTAGAGTTTTCATTACCTTTTAAATTACACCCATTCCCACCTCCACTGACAAATTTAAGACGGTTTGACACACATGCCGCCACACTGGCTCTAGAAATAGTTAACTGTGCAATATCCCTAGTAAAAATATAGGTTAATGTTTCATTTCTGGGTCTATTTTACAGTCCAATTTTGTTTTCACTTTAATTCCTTTACGGTTTTTTTTCTTAATACTGTGTGTATACTTTTATAAGTAAGTCATTTTGGAAGTACCAGATGGGTTAAAAGTCTACATGAGAAATAGAGTATTATTTTTAACAAAAACTTAACTGATCTGTGATTGTATGTGTTTAAAACTATTTTCTTGGGGCCCTTATTCCACATACTATCCAGTGTGAACCACAGTTAGAATAATACTGCTTTCCAAGGGCACTCCTTTAAAATAACACTTTCTAAACAGCCCAGAATCCTCATTGCGACACTACTGTTTACCAGCGCATGGTTACTTATTGAAAAGAGCATTTAGAAAGACGTAATGGGACGGAGGGGTGGGGGGGTATTAACTCTTAAAAAAAAAAAAAAAAGTCATTGGACTAATTACAGGAGAAAATCCAGGGCCTTTCTTAACTCCAGAATAGGGGAGAGGTCTGACACCCCTAGGCATTGGGACTTCTGGTAGAGGAAGTAGAGAAGACAACATTGCACTGTCTGAGCAATTGCACCCGCGTTGTCAGAAAGACACTGTTCAGGGACACTTGTTCTAGATGGTAATAACATCTTCTGTGGGGGTGTTATGGAATGTACAGGGTCATTTTTTGTTTGTCACAATCGTGGAGGGGAAGCCAGATACCTGCAAAGTATGAGTTGATTCTAAACAACAAAGAAAAATCTAGTTTAGAACCTGTGGATAAAATGAGAGTTCCTGTGGCCAGGATTCTCACCAGGCTGTGGTTGACTAGCTCACTGCACACCTGTGGGCAATACATGGCTGTTGACTCTATAAAAAGAGCTCCACCCAGTGCTCTGGGCACAACATGATGATGGTAGGGCTGCAAGGCTGCAGGATTGCAGAGCAGAGGCTGAAGTGGTGGCAGCGCCGAGGACAGGCCCAGAGGACAGCTGTGTGGGACAACTGTGCAGACAGAGGGGCCCAGAGGCAGAGACTGGCTTGCTACCTGCAGACTCACTCTGATGAACGGGATTCTAGTGACTGACCTGCCACCTGGAAATAAACTTGGGTATAACCCTTTCACCCCAAGAATGTTTTGCTGTCAATTTCTTTGGTCACATTGAATCCATAGCGAACTTGCCCGGGGCTGAAACCCATTGGCAAGACAGAACCTAACAGAATTTTTATGCATAATCAAAATGCTGTTGGGCCTTTTTTTGTGTGGGGGGTGGGAGCAGAGAGGTTGTTTTTGTTTTCCAATTTTCATCTACTCAGTTTTCCAGGATTCCAACTACTGGTGTTTTGTTGAGCATACTACGAAAAGTTGTTAATTTCAGAAAACTCTCTTACCAGTGATATCTACTTGGCAGAGTCTTAATTGCTAATTCACTTTTATGTGAATAATTATGTCTTCATGTGTAGCTGTTGCATTCACAGCAATTCTATATACAGGTGTAGGCATCCTTATATCTTCCAGTACAATTGTGCCCAAGCATTTACATATTTAACTACAAGTTATTTTATAACAAAATGCCTGCCTTTTATTTTCCCATTTTATTAAAGTTAAGGCATGTTTAGGTAGGCTATATTATCTGTAAATTTCATTGCAGAATAGTAAAGCAGGCGGAATTACACTATTTGCTATAGAAAAGAAAAGTGTTGGTACTGACAGGATTGAGAACCATCTGTTCAGGCATCCAGATATAATATGACAGCAGAACTTGGAAAGAAGTACTGGACGCTTTCTGTCAACCCCACACCAGGGCCCCCTTACCCTCTCCACACATACACCCTCCTCTACCTTTCCAGTAAGACTTCTGTGCCTTGCCCGCTGCAGTCACAGCATGGGCCCTTGCATTCCACTCCGAGCCATTATGTGCCAGTACTAGTTTTCTGAATTGGGATGAGATGTGGCCACAGGAGGAGGAAGGAGTCTCTAGGGTTAATCTTAGGTATTTTAAGATTTTAAAAACACATAAAAGTTTCAAATTTTACAAAAAAAAGAATTTACACCTATATAATGTGTGATCCGATTACATGTCTTGAGGATTCTTTGGGTCCACATTTAAAAAAGGAGAAATAGTACTTTTTGGAAATTGTCGTTAACTATATTATTAAGGAATCCACCTCTAGGACTGTCATGAAGCCCAGGCTGGGTTAACAGTGCTGAGTTGTAGAGGTAACTATGCTCAACTCTGGGACTTTCTGGTTGTAACCCTGTCTTCTATCTCTACCTCAACTGAAAACCCAGACACATGAGGCCTCACCCCCTGCCCTCCTTTCCTGAAAGATGCCAAAGCCAACGATGTAGGAGGCTGTTTTAGAGAAGACAACTGTCTTCGCAGAAGACAAATCCTCTACTTCGCTTTATGAGGCAATAGCAACCCCAAACCACGGGCAGGCTGGGACCTGCACAGGCCTCCATGGACATGGGAAGGAGGAGGAAAGGGAACTGAAGATGGGATCATCTCCTTTAAGAGGGCTCAGGTGGGGCAGGAAAACTTAATTCCATGGTTCAAATCCTACCAGGCCCAAACATAGATAGTATCAGTGAAAAGAGTTCCAGCATAATGCCTCATCATGGAAAATTTTAAGGTTTCAGCTCTGCAAAGCCCTTGGGTGGGTGGAAAGCCTAAGGCCACCCATATTTCCCACCCTGCTTCTCTCCTTGCTTTTCCATGGAATGTAGCAGAAGTTTCTGCACACAAGTTCCAACAGAAAAAACGATTCAGAGTGACATGGAAGAGCCATAGGCAATGGGCCAGGGCTGTCAGCAAGCCCTGGGTTGGTTTTAGCTGGGCTGTATTCCACCAATGTCAGGACACCAGTGATGTCTGAAGGGCTTCATACTGAATAGGAAAATGTTAAGATTCACTTAATAGTGGAGCCAAGGGCCACTGAGCATTCTCTCCATCACCAGAAACACAGAATCTTAACAGTTGCTTATTAGAGAGGGAAGCTGAACTAGAACAATGAGTAGGTATCTTCTAAGACAAGTCACACAACAAGCCAGAGAACAAGATTTCACTGCAGGAGAGCTTCAGTGACCCACAGTGAAGCTAAATTCTTAATCAAGCACTCATTCCCTGCATGATGGTGTTTCATTGCTGACTGGCCTAGCTCAGCCCACCCCCTGGGAGAAATAACTAGATAATGAAGCCAAGGAACACATAGGGCTCTGGGCCCAAACAACTGTACACTGTTTATTGAGAACACCCGTAGATGGCGGGAAGAAGGCATGCCCTGTACCGCATCATGGCCATTGCTGACTGGGAGAGCACTGGCAGAGTTAGGGGTGGGGTGGTCTTCCCATGACTCACTGACCATCACAAAGATGAGAGGAACAAGCAAAGGCCAGGCCCGAGAGCCTGGTTCCGTGCTGCAAATGGGGACTGACTGGCCTTTGCCTTTCAAAGAAGAGGGCTAGGGAGGGAGGGAAGACTATTAGAAAAAAATAGAAACTCTAAAATTAAAAAAAAAAAGGTCCTCCTGTACATAACAAGACAGCATCTGCTCTCCAGGGCCCGAGACTGGCAGCAGGGGCCGCAGGCAGGCAGGCCAGGAGCCTCCCGGGGAAGATCAGTGGTTTGGCTGAGACAGTCAGCTGCACATAATTGGCCAGTCACCAGCACCCAAGCCCCTTGGGAATATACAAATATTTACCAGATTCTCTTTGCTTGTTACAAAAACAGATAAGAAAGCTTACAGCAGATTATTTACAAACAGTATCCTGGGATATTGTGAAGGCAGAGGTGGGTTGGCTGGGAGGGTGGGGTCTGTGGGGGCAGAGCAGCCACAGCAGCCCAGAGAATCCCAGGCTGGGCCCCCTCCCCAGGTTCCAGGCTCTGCAAGGCACTGGACTCAGTTACTGGGAAAGGGGCTTAATTCTTCTTGTGGAGGAACTTCATTTTGTTGCCTGTGGGCCAGAGAGGGCAAGAGTGAGAATGTTTCCATGTCACCTTCCAACAGTCCTACCCCTCAGAGGGAAAGACAGGCTTAGAAAGGCTGGATTACAGCTGTGACTTATCTGATCCAGGGTAGTGAAAACACTCCAGCTCTAATTAAGGCACTGGCATTAATCACTGTGGCTTTGGGCAAGCCATTTAACTTCTTCAGCCTTAATTTCCCTTTAAACTAAGACATGCTATGGTTCTGTGATTTAGCGGCTGAGCTCTTTGAAGGGAGTGCCTTTCAAACAAGGACACGCTGACACTGCTACTTCTGTAGACCCCTTATGGCCTAGAGGAAAGCTCACTGGCCCTAATGGCCCTCATTCACTCAGGAAGGAGTACATCCAAAGGCCAGATTATGGGAGCATCTGTGGTTTCTCTTGGTTCTACAGTTTGGTAACTACTGTGCTAAAAGTCCTTGGAGCACTGGGCTGGGAACCTTCTCTTCACCAAGGGATCTCTTCCTGTTCTGTCTACAGCTCCAGTATAATACCCATTGGCACTGGCTTAGAGTAATTTAGGGTACAGATCCCCCAGTCCCTCCTTTCTTGCTGAACATCTACATCATCAGTGACAAAACTACTCACCCAAACCTCGAAGGAACTTATTCATTCCACTCTGCTCAGTGTCAGGGAGTTCCTCTAAATACTGTTCCACTCGCAGCTCAAAGAGGCCTGGGGAAGAGGAGAGAGGAACAAGGATGAGAACGGCCACTGGAGGAAGGGAAGGGAGGCCTATTGGATGGGAACAGGAGGCACAGATCCCAAAATGGGAGAAACTAAGGATCTGCAATTATCATTTACAGGAACACTTGATTAGAAGTAAGACTGGCCATCAAGCTGTCATTACTGACATCTTACTGTGTCCACTGCTAATAGCAAGAAGCCCTCAATACCTCCCCTCATGATGTACATTCCTGAGCTTCATTAAGGCCACTCCTTGTTCCACAGCTGCCCGGAGTGGACACCACCTCCACTTGGTAGAGTGGTTCCTTTTGGACCACTCTACCAAGTTGTTCCAAAAAGGTTCAACTAAGTGGACACTATCAGTGGACAGAAGGAATAGTAAACTTCAGGTTAGACATAAAGATCTTGATGAGAGGGAAAAGCCTGACAGTGAGCTGAGCAGATGACACAGAGATGAGATGGCCTTCTGCTCTGAATGGAGACTGCCACCAGCCTAATACAGAGAGCTAGCTCAATTCTCCACCAGAGCCTTCTCAACCCCCTAGATTCTCAGAAGCCCCTAAACAGCAGTCTGGTCTTCTCTGAATATGATGGCCACCTGAGGAGGGGATGGGCAACCAGTGGCATGTTGCTCTTAGCAGGCAATGAGTCCCTCTCTAGCCACATGGCTTCAGCCTGTTGCAGCCCTGTGAAGGCATTTACTGGGACAGGAGGGGAAGTAAACTCCCTTGGCAGTTTCTATCAGGAGAAGAGGGATGTTGGAGGCCTGGCCCTAGCAGATACCCAAGAGGTTTCATCACAGTGCCTAGCTATTCAGCCCTGCTGGCAGCGGAAAAATTAGGGCCCAGCCCCCAACCCCAAGGTCTTCTGGCCTTACCCTTTGCCCGACACTTTCTTAGCTCCCTGTCTTGGATGAAGCCAGCAAACATCTGAGACTCCATAAAAACCTCAAGAAAACGGCGGATGCTCTTGGAGGCCACAGACTTGCGGAAAGCTTCTCGCTGAAAGGCTCTCTCTCCCTTCTCACTCTGGGTCAGGAAAAGGGAGTAGTGCCCAACAGTCTCCACAAAGAAACGGATGAACACCTCTGATACCAGCCCATTGAGGGTATTACATTCTGGAAGCAAAAAGACAATCACTGAGGTTCAGGTCCAGAGCCTGTGATCTCCAACTTCTGGCTGGTGTTTGTTTCCTTCTCCCCAACGAAACTTCCAGCCAGAACTCTTATCTGTCCTTGAAACTTTATCTCTCATGCTCCTGTGCCTGTAACCAGCCCATGAGCTGGGAGGTCGGAAACTGCTCTGAATGTAGAAGTTGGTAAATATAGTTCAGTTGATCCTTAACTTGGAGTTAGGGGTGCTGGCCCCTGGGTGAAGTCAAATCTGCCTCTAACTTTTGACTCCCCCACAGCTTAATTACTAATAGCTTACTGATTACCAGAAGACTTACCAATAACATTAACAGTCAACTAACACACATTTCATACATTTTGTGCATTATATACTATATTCTTATAATAAAGTAAGAGAAAAGAAAATGTTTTTTCCAGTTGTCACAAATCTCAAAAAAATTTTCCAATGTACTTATTGAAAAGGTCTGCATTTAAGTGGACCCATGCCATTTTCAAGCATCAAGTATACTTGCTGGATGAATGTGAGTGGAAATCAGGGGCCACGGGATCACTTTCCCCACACCCCTTTACCCTGGATCCTTTCCTGGCTTCACAGGGTGAGGAAGCTCCCCCATCTCCTGCAGTGGCTCAAGGCAAGGCTTGAGAAGGAGCAATGACTAGTTTCCTCTCAGCAAGAGAAGTCTTTGTGATTGCCACATCTCTGGGTTTTCCTTTTCAAACCTTGTGACGTAGGGAAGAAATAGAAGAGGGCAGCTCTGTAGCTTGGGCCACACTAGAAGCAGCCCCAGCGCTGTTTATGTTTCTGAACTCCCCCTGATGAAATACCACAGCACTTCTCTCCCCTCAGCCGTAGTCATGCCATAACTCCCTGAGCCTTCTGGTAGTGGGGCTGCAGAGTTCTAGGCTAAAGTGAAACCATGGTTTTATATCAGGAGCCTCATCAGTCAGAAGGGTCTAGAAAGTGCATAGAAACAGGGTCCCAACCCCAGAAGGCCCAGACCCAGAGCAGTGGAAGCCTGGGACCAGAACTGATTCCGCCCAGGACAGGCCTCACTCACCATCATCAGAGTCACTGTCAGAGTCCTGGGAGATCAGTTCATTCTTCCTTTCTAGAGCCTGCTCCAGAGCTGCCTGCAACTTCCTGGGTAACAACGTGTCCTCGTCATCCATCTGCAGGAGGAAAGGGCCCAGTGATGACAACCATAGATGATGCTGACTGAGCATGTGCTATGTTCCAGACCATTTGAGGGGCTTAAGTATCATCTCACTTAATCCCAATAGCCCTGACACTCTTATCAACCTCATTTTAAGATGAGAAGCTGAGGAAGAGAGAGAGGTTAAGAAACTTGTCCAAGGGCACACAAATAAAAAGTGGTGGAACTGGTAGCATACACTGCCCAAAACCAGCTAGGAGTTCCCACCCTAGCACCTTGGCGAAGTCTCCCTAGTTCTCCTCCGTCTTCAGCAACAGGTGCAAAGCACAGTTAGTTGCCTTGGGGCAGGGTGGTCATGGCCCCAGCTGGGTCTCAGGTTTGAGGTTACGATGTCATTCCTGTCTCTCAATTCTGGTTCAGTGTCTGTACCTTGCTGCCTGGTACCCAGGAGTCACAGCTCCTCTGTGGTGTGTAACGGACTGGACATTCCTAGAAGGTATGGCAGTGGGTTGTGCTCCTTTGTACAGAGCCAGGAGGATTTCCATGACTAACAAAGGCTTTTTGAAGTTGGCAATAAATATTGCAAACCTTTATATTCCATAGCATTCTTTGTATCACGTAATCTCCCAGCAACATTTCAAGACCGGTGTTATCACCATGCCTATTTTAGAGATGAGAGCTCAGAGATATTTAGAAGCCTGGGCAAGTGCAAGATCATGGTGACTCAAAGGTGACAGAGTCCAGAGGTCAAATCTTCTGACTTCCAGACCATGTTCTTTGTACTACCACACTGCCCTTCAGTAGCTGATGATGCCAACCAGAAGGGCAGAGCCTGTTGAAGTCAAGACTTCTCAGACCAGATTCTCCCCACCCTTGTCTGTTCTGTGACTATGGAGCCCAGAGAGCTCAACAAAAGGCTGTGAAAGTTAAATAGTGTGGGTGACAATGTTGGGCACTCTAGCGTCTGCACTGGCCAAGCACCCACCCTAGCGCAGGCCACATTCTGTGGTGCCCTGCTCTTACCTGTCGGATGAATCGGTCAGATCCCAGATTCACCATCAGCGCCTGAGAAAAAAGTCATTAGCGGCAGTGATTCAGGCCATGTCCTTGCAGGGACTCCCAGATTCCCAGGGTCAGGTAACAGGAAAACTCAGCCAGGGAGAGAGCTCCCAGGGAGAAAGGGTAAGAGCTGGTTACAGAAGCCCAGAAGCCACAGATGAGAAGATCCCAGTGGGCTCTCTGCCCTCCCTTCTGACTCTGCCCCTCCTTCCCGGGGGTTTCTGTTCCTTCTGTCCCCTCCTTCTTCCGCCCTTCCTCACAGCTGGTTCTGCAGGTAACTCACCTCCTCCACAGGTAGCTCCTTCAATTTGGGCAGGGAGCTGGAGAGCAGGCCAACCAGGAAGGGGGTGGGACAGCAGACGATGTCAATCATGGAGGCCGGGAGGACAGGAATGAAGGTGTGCTGCCAGGAGAAGGGGTACAGCAGGGCCACCACCGCATGGGAGCAGCTGGAGAGGGTACTGGTAGACAGAGACAAAGCACCTGAGGGCAGGCCTAGCACCTTTGGGGAGGGAGACTTAGAGCCTGCTGGGAGCTCAGAACCACCTTTTATAAATTAAACCTTCCAGTGCAACAAAAATGCTAATGGAGCTCAGGCCTGGGTCTGACCCTGCAGAGTGATGAACCCCCCACATTCCCACTGCTTGGGGCCTCAGACACTGGTGCTACCCTCTTTGATGACTCTACCTAGGAAAACTCATGAAGGTACACAACAACTCTTGAACACACAAAGGACTAACCTACACACCCCCAAGGGCCACCCAAAAGCACAAGCAGGCCTGACCTAGTGTGGGAGAATCAGAGCCAGGGAGCACAAAGCTAAGCTGAGCAAGAGCTGATCATAAATTCATAGCATATAAGAGTTAGAAGGCCGTGCAGAGCCCATCTTATCAATTCTACATTGTACAGCTGGGGCCACAGACACCAGTTTGGTCAGTCTGGTCATCGATGGCAGACCTGGGACAAAACCAGTTTTCCCTGTTTCCTAGCCCAGTGTTACTTCTACTGCTCTGCCCTCTATTTAGTCCTTTCTCTCCTTAACTGGAAGAATGGTGTTGAGGACCACTGACTTAAGTAAGGAGTCTGGCACCATTTCACCAAGCTGAAAAGGTGCCCACTCCCATCTTTTCTTTCAGTTGACAAAAAACAGCCACAGGTCTTGTGGGTTCATCCCTCTCTTGGCGTAGGGGCTCCAGGCCTCTAGACCCAGGGGCACCACAGGGCTGGCTATCCAAACTCAATGACCAATGGGAAATAGTGTGTGTGTGTGTGAGGGGGTATCAGGGTGCTACTTAGGAGGTACAGAAGCCCGACCCACATGTGTTTAAGGCTGGTGTGGGGTAGGGTAAATACAGACTGATCTGAACTATCTGTGATGTCAGCAAGAAAATCAAAGCTCCCCCCATCTCCTTAACCCCCAGCCCCCACGGCCCAAGGGGCCATACTACAGAGAGCCACAGTCAAGTTCATTTTCAAGCTTAATTTTCCCACCTGTCCCTCTGTGTCTATTAACCATAAAATCCCTGGGATCCACTTGATCAGCTCCATCAGGGATCCACACACTTCCATGACCAACGCCCTACCAGTCAAGAGAACACATCTCCAATGCATGACACAAACAAACCCTTTTTTTTAAAAAAGACCTCTGGATGTTCACCGGTGTTTGTCAGGCAGTGCCTTGCTTGGCTATCCTGCCACCCTATGGGCCCTAAAATATCACCAGCCCTGAGACAGAGACACAGGTGTCCTGACCCTGACAGCCCTTCGCCTGGGACAGCAGCTCCCCACAGCCTGAGGAGAGCCATCTAGAAAAGAACTAGAAAAGGGCTGTCTCAGGTCGAGGGACACACTGATCTCCACAACCCCCCGCAGTGGGCCTGGGAGGCAGAGGCTGATTCCTGCAGAGCCTGTGCACACACACACCCTTCCCACATACAGACATCAGAACTAGGCCAGAGGGACAAAGGACTTGTGGAAAACATAAAACCTGAGCCACATAGCACAAGCTAGCTGGCCTTACTGAACCCTACCTCAGTCCAGGTCTACGTGCCATCACTGGGCTGCCTCCAGTCAGAGGCAGACCCTGAGCAGGGAAGACATCTTTTCTGAGACCCAAGACTGGCAGAACCTGAATGCCAAGCCAGGCTAAGAACAGGACCCTGGGGTGTTTTCCTCCCAAAATGGTCCTGGAATGTGCTCAGAGGCAGCTGCAGCCACAGAAGACAATAGTTGTATTCACAGTCCTACTGGCGCTTGGGCTAAGGGGAGGGGAGGCAAAGAGGAGACTCTGCCCTGAGTGAGGGGTTGAGACCTTCAGGAAAAAACATCTAAGGGTCCAGGCTCTGTTGGGGCAAAGGTCTGGCCAACCAGAGCCTCTCAGTTGGGCAGTGGGGGCTCCACTGGCAGACAATGAGCGTGGATGGCAGAGGTGGCAAAAAGGGTCACGTGGAGATGCTGAGCCTGGCTACCTCCAGCTGCTGGGCATGGTCCCTTCACAAAGACCTGATGGGTCCATACACAGAAAAACACACAACTCTGGGAGATACAGACACACTGAGGCTATGGCAGGAAGTGAGGAGCCATTTTCATTTCTAAACCTGGAATTCTCTGAAAAAGACAGCAGCTGTGGTTTTCCTCCTCCTTTTTTCTCCTGGGCTGAGGGTTGGCCTGGGTTCCTGCTCCATTTCTCCATTACTCTGAGTCCATTTCTCCTGCTCCTCTCACTAGGTCCCCATATATATGGAAACACCCAGGGATCCTGGGTTTCCAAGTGGACAATTTAGAAATAGGGTTTTTCTTTTCTGACCCTCCTATCGGCACCTGGAATTTGGTATGGCACATACCAAGTAGCTAAATGTCTAAAGGACTGAATTAATTCCACCTCTCTATAGAAACCACTGCTTCCTGTGTATATTTCTTTGATAAAAAAAAATACACAATGTGTTGTTAAGATCTCATACTTCACTCTCTCACCTGTCCCACCCCCCCATGTATACTCTGCTAAGGTCTGAATGTTTGTGTCCCCAAAATTCATACATTGAAATCCTAGCCACCAAACATGATGGTATTAGGAGGTGGGGCCTTTGGAAGGCACTTATATCATGAGAGTGGAGCTCTCATGAACTGAATTAGGGCTCTTTTATAAAAGAGACCCCACGGGCTTGCTTCGGTAGCACATATACTAAAATTGCAACGATACAGAGATTAGCATGGCCCGAACACAAGATGACATGCAAATTCATGAAGCATTCCATATTTTTTCTTCCTGTGTTAACAGGTAGTAACTGCACTAGAGGGGGTGAGGATTTAATAATATGGGTAACTGTTTAACCACTGTGTTGTATACATGAAACCAATGTAAGATTGTACATCAATGATACTTCAATAAAAAAAAGAGAGACCCCACAGAGCTCCCTCCTCCCTTCCTTCATGTGAGGACAGTAAGAACATACCAACTATGAACTAAGAATTAGGCCCTCATCAGAGTGCAACCATGCTGGTGCCCTGATCTTGGACTTTCCAGCCTTCAGAACTGTGAGAAACAGACCTCCATTGTTTATAAGCTACCCAGTCTGTGGTAATTTGTTATAGCAGCCTGAAAGGACTAAGACATTCTTTAAAAAAAAAAAAGTGGCTGCGTAGAAAAGCCTGGTTTCTTCCATAATGCCTCATGTCAAGTGACACTTCTGCCACCTCAAACACTTGGCTAAAAGCAGACCCTCGTATTTGGAACTCCTCCACCTCTAAAATTACAAATGCCAACATTTCAGACCAAGACTTGTAATCCGTCCAGCTCGTGTTCCTCCTGAACCAGCTCTCCTGCCTCATCGGCACCTCTAGGCCCTGGACATCTTCCCGTTCACTTTCCTAGTTTGAACAACCACTCTCCTCCCCAGCACCCCCAAGGCCTCGACCTGTCCTCCTCATATATCCCTGGGTCACTCCAGTCAGCCGCCTTCTCCAGGGGACCCCACACTCCTCCAAGCCCGGTCAGTGCCCTTGCCCCTTCCTCACGGTGGCTCTGCCTGAGGGCCATCACTCTCCTCAGACCCAGCATCCCACAGAGACCGCCTCGCCTCCCCACCCAGGGGAAAGGCAGCCACCAGCCAGGAATCTCTTACTTTCTTACTTCTCCATATACATAATGTGCACACCGGCACAATCTGGCTGCCATGAAAGTGGTGTCCCTCCTCTTCCCTCAGGCCGAGTCCTCCAGTGGCTTCTCGCTCCTGCCATACTAACGCCACGGGAGTGGGGCATGTACTAGGGACATACGTGCTGGGTTAATTAGTAGATGTGCCCACCCCCTCTCCTTCTCTTTGCCCTGCTGGGCCTTACTTACCTGAGCTTATCTGCCACAAAAATGACCCGGCGCTCCAGCAGCAGTGAGGCAAAGATGCGGATGAGCTGGCGCACACTGAGGCAGGTAAAAAGGCACTCAAAGTCCACGTGCTCCAGCCGGGAATCTGTGGGCCGCCGCAGCTCTAGCACCTGCAGGACAGCAATGGGGAAAATGGGTCAAGGCAAGCCAGGTGTGCTACTCTGGGTCCTCCACAGAGTGACCCCATGCTGGCTTCCCTTCCCATCTTCCCCTCCTAGAGCCCCTAATTTAGCCAGCTATGCAGTAAGACCCATTCTCCTCTTCCCCTCAGACCACAGCTCTGTTTCCATAGTCCTTAGACACCCAGTTGTGGGCAGGAGGGCTAACTGGGAATGTGGGGGAGGCTACAAAGGAAGGCACTCAGGGGCTGGCAGGCTCTCAGGAAGGGAGGAGAGCTGATTGCTCTTACAGATGAGGAGGCCGCAATCACACAGCTTTATCTGTAGAATCCTCCCTGCCCTCATGCCCATCTCCCCAGGCAAAGGGCTTGGTCCCCCATTCTGACCAGACCACAACTGATCACTGCCCCCTGGGAAGAGCAACATCTCCGCATCTCAGGACCCTATGCCCACCCATCTCTGGGAAGGCAATAGTGCCCTTGTTGCCACATCCCCTCCCTTTCCTTCCAGAGGCTGTTTGTCCTGCCATCCTGGCCTCTATCTCTATCAGCCTCCAAAATCCCGGTGCCGGGGACAAAGAAAACACAAAGAAAAGGCTGGCTATTCCACAACCTTGCCAGGAAGCACAGCTTTCTTCATCAGGGCCAGTCCTAGCAACCCTCCCTCCCAAGGGGCTGCAAGGTGCCCCCCACAGTCAGTGCTCTGGCACAGGTGGCCACTCCCCTGGGGGCAGTCATGAGGGTGGGAGGTAGCGACTGCCCTTTACAGTGAGCGGGAGGATGTGCTGACACTCAGGCCAGGCCATGGCAGCTGTCCCTGGGGCCGCCGAGTCTTCTCCTTGGACCCTCAGCATACGTGGGCAGCACAGACGGGCAGGCCTTCTCAGAACTGTGGTGCACGTGGGGCCTCTCACAGCCCCACAGCATCAGAGCCCCTTTCAGCAGATTTTTACCCCATGCCATCTCATTTGCTCCTCAGGGACAAGGCAAGTAGAAGCCCTAACTCCTAGCTTGGTATCCACCCCTCTGGGCCCCAGAAAAGCAGCAAAATGGGCACAAGTCGCCCTAGCAATCTATTTACACTCTCTCTCTCACGGGATGGTGAACTCTCAGAAGGCTCAATCTTCTGAGTGGTATGATGAATCTCAGAGGTATGATGAATCCCATACCATAACTGAGTGAGAGACCTCTGCACCCTCCCATCCTTGTCCCACCCCAGAGAAAGTAACAGTGGGGCTCCCCCAGCTGCCCTTCTGAGAGCCTGTGTGCAATCTGGCAGGCTCTGCTCTGCAGCACACAGCCCCAGCAAGAGAGAAGTCACAGAGGCAGCTCCCAACCCTGACCCTGGGCCTCTTTGCATTCATCCCAGTCCTCAAGGAGGTAACAGTCCAGTGGGGCTGAATGAGCCTAAACAATCCCAGCCTATGAGACTGATGTCAGAACAGAGGAAAGGTGTGATTAACATCTGCTCAGGTGCAGAGAGGAACGGCAGCTGACCACACCTGGGGTCAGGAGGGGTCAGGGCAGCAGCTCAGACAATGAGATGCTGAACTTGCACTGCCGGAGGAGAGAAGAGGGAAGTGTCTTCTGCACAACAGGAAGCAGGGTTCAGGGACAGTAAGCCACTCAGATCAGAGAGAGGAGAAATGAGGCCGGGGAGGGCAGGGCCACAGCCAGAAAGACTCCCAGGAATGCCGCTAGGCTCTCAGGGCAGGGGCAGCTGTCCTGCCCTGAGACCGCTCAGGAAGCCTCCTGTCCCTCCAGACAAGGGAGAGAGAAAAGAACCTAAGACAAAAGTCTCAGGGTGTTCACCACCCCTGGCAAACCCGACGCGGCTTTGGTCAGACCCTCTCCCACTCTCTGCAACAACTAACTTACTTCTGCCCTCTCTTAACACAACACCCATCTCTCACTCTCAGATGACCTTCTCTTCTATTCTGAGAAAACCAAAGCCATCAGATGAGAATCCAAAATCTAAAAGCCACAGCCCTTCCCTGGCACTGCACAAGGAAGTGCCCTTCTCTCCTAACAAAGCCAAGCCCTCAGTGGGTCCCACACACCGCCTCCTCGGCGACAGTCCCTCATCCCCTTCCTCTCCTGCTGTTAACCTCCTCCTCTGTGGGACATTTCACCCAGCATCCAACAACCAGCTTCAACAAACTCTACCCTGGGCTCCAGATTTCCTTTCAACCACTAGCCCCTCATCCCTGTTTCTCTTCACAGCCAAGCCGCTTAGAAAGATGTCTATACAGGCTAGTTCCATATTTCCACCCCCATTCACTTCTCAACCCACCCCACTCAGTTTTCTGGGCCCCCACTCTCCTGAAAGCCACTCTTGTCAAGGCATCTTGTCACACCTCATCCTGACCTCCTGGAAGTATCTCCCTTATCTGATCACTCCTTCCTTCTGGAGACACCCCCACTCCTTGGCTTCTAAGCCCCTGGGGCTCCTCCCCTCTTCTCAATCTTGAGGGCTGCCACCCCTCCATGGCAGGACCTCCAAATGGAGTCCCTCAGGACTGAGGGGGACCTAGTCCGGGCTCTCTTCTCTTCCCTGCCTACATTCTGCTACTAAACACTTCTCTTGGCTACCTCACAGGCACAAAGTCAGCTCTTCCTCCGCCTCCTCCTAACCTGCTCCTTCTTCAGGTGCTCCATCAGCTACCCTGTTGTTCAAGCCAGAAAACGGAGGTAGCCTTGAAATCTCCCTAACACTTATTCCCTATTTTCAGTCAACCACAAAGTGCTACTGATCCTAATTCTAAAATATATCTCAAATTCATCACTTCTCATCTTCTCTACCACCCCTTAATCTACTACTATCATCTCTTGCCTGTACTGCTTCAATGGAACCCTACTTGTCTCCCTGTTTTCCCTCCAACACATTATCTATGAAGCAGCCAGAGTGAGCTTTAAAAATACATCTCAGCTCTTATAACCCTGCATTAGATAAAATCCAAAATCCTTGCCTTGGACTACAGACACGTTGTGATTGACCTGTGCTGCCTACCCACCCCTGCTCACTGCCCTTTTACCACCTTGCCTTTCATCAGTTCCTTGACAAGCACACACACTTTCCCACCTGTTGCCTTTGCGGGTGCCACTCCTTCTACCTGGAGTTAACCCCCCATCCACACTTTCCTCTCAGTCCCCCTCCTCCCACTTCATTTAGTTGACTATATACTCCCCTCAGGACCCTGGTAAAACGCTACTCCCTCAGGAGGCCTTCCCTGGCCCCCTGTGCAGAACAGAGCCCGGTGCTGTCATGTGGTGCTTACCACTATTTAGGAATTACCTGTTTACACGTAAAAGTATTCAGATACTAGCAGTCTCTCCCACCAGACTAGGATGCCAGAGGACGAAGCTGTGCCCCTTTAGCTTTATGATCTGCCCCAAGGTCTGGCATGGTCCCTGACTGAAAGAGAGTACAGATTCACCAAGTATTTGATGAATGAATAAAAGGAGGACAGGTGGAGTGCAGTTCAGTCTGAGCAGGTTAGGAAAGGACCCTAGTTGTTGCAGGGAGTTGGGCAATAATTCCAGTATTGTTGTTCACTTTTTCAGGCCCTACTGATTAGGCATGCACACACACTGAGTGAGGACAGGGCTGTGCTCTGCACCTCGCAGAGGCTGCAGCCTTGCTAGGCAGGTCTTACTCTGGCCGCAGGCCATAGTCTGAGAGAAGAGGCAGCAGAAATCCCTACCTCATTGCCTGCACCTGGAAGGAACGTCTTCACTCTGATGGTCTTCCCTGGGGCAGGGAAAGGCGACTCCATGAGACTTCTCATGAAGGGATAGACCAACGCAGCAGAGATCCCACGCCGGCGCTCCACCTCATCTAGGACCTGTACCCACCACCAGCAGCCCAGAGAGGAAGGGGGTCAGGGCGCTGCCCTTCCCTATCTCCTGGGCAGAGAAGAGGGCAGCTTGGCATCTGACCAGACAGTGTCAAAGCAGGGCAACAGGAGGACTGTCTTGCCAGGAGTTTCACACCCTGCCCTTTGCATTTCCCTTGGCACTCAGGACAGCTCTGCTCCCTAAGTAGTCCTTGCCTCAGACCCCAGGAGCTGAGCAGCTGTGCAAATACCGCTTGAGAGTCAGGTCCCTGCGCACTTGGTTTCCCCAAGGTAGTTTCTGTCCCCATGACTCTGGCTTTGCTCCTGACCCAGGGTGGGCTGTGACATTGGCAGATACAGCTGGTGCAGGAGCTGGGATACGCCAGCAGGCTAGACGGGGAGCGGGGTTCAGGACTCAGGAGGGAGTCAGAGCTTGCTTGTGCTTGCTCTTGTACTCTCTCTCGCTTGCACCCTCTCACATACGGGGGGGCTTTCTCATCTGAGCCGGCAGCAGATGCTCCCACCGGAGCTGTCAGCTGGGGGAACAGGGGGGAGGGAAGTACACCAGAGCCCTCTTACCTTGGAAAACAAGCCGAAGCAGCCAAGACGGCTGATGACACAGTATACCTCTGGCAACCGCGGCCCTTTCCCACTTGGCTGGGCCGGGACAAAAAGGGGGCAGAGAGAGACACAGACACAGAGAGTGCATGATTACTCTATCTGGTTCCTTTTCCTTGCAAAGAGAGGACTGAGGACTGCTCTTCTAGCCAAAGAAGGCCCTAAGCTTCTTCTAAACCTCTACTCTTCCAGGCTGCCAAAGGAAAGGTTGCCACTCTTTGGGGGCAGGCTTCAGCCTCTGCTGGAGTTTCCGGCCCAAGATGCTAGGCTCCTGCCAAGCTCTACACAGTCTCTGCCCTTCCTCCCAAGCGGAGACTGACAGGGACGGGCAAAGGATGAGAGGCAGAGGATACAGGGAGATTCTGTGGATTTACATCCCTAAGGCTGGGAGCCTGGAGGACCCAGTGGTGCTGAGGCACATGTGTACATTTTTAGGGGCAAGCTAAGTAGTATGTGGTAGCAGCAGTTCACACATGCTAGTATGATGTAGTCTGCTGCCCCTCACAGGGGTCGTTCTTCAAAACATTCCTTTCCTCAGTTGCTCTTTTCCCCCTTCCTTGACACATCCACATTATAGGAAAGCAAGCTGAAATAACTGAGGGGAAGAAAACTATTTATTGAATGTTTATTCTATCTGAGTTCTTGGGCTTGGTACTTGACTAAAAAGTTGTGAGAGAGGCAGTACTATCCTCATTTTATAGATGAGTAAACTGAGTTCAAAAATACTAAGCCACTGTCTAAGGTTATGTATCTACAAGTCGTAGTACCAGGAGTCTGCTTTGACTTCAGTCTTACCTCTAAAGCAATCTGCCATCTAACAGGAAGGAAGGGAGAGGGACACAAAGATACAGGACAGAGGCATGTTATAGAGTAGAGGAGAACAAAAATAACAGGGATTTAAAGGGAAGGCAGCTGGAGGAGGTGTGCTCTGGGGCTCCCCAAGCCTTGAGCCCCCCCAAATGCAGGCTAGGGTGAGTCCACAGGAGTCTACTTCTCCAGTCAGTGGCCAGCAGGGCTCTGTGGCTGCCTCTGGCTCAGAGGTCTGGAGTGCCTGGCAAGGCTGAGCAGGGAGGGAGCAGAGCAGCAGGTGCTGGTCCCTCATGCAGGCTGCTAAGCAAACGCAGATGGGGCCATTTCAGTTTCCAAACCTGCTGGCCACACGTCACAGAACTAAAGAGAAGGCAGAATCTGTTTTTGTCCATATTAGGCCTGAAACTCACTCCTCTCTCTTTCCCTCTCCCCTCCTCCCCTAAAGCCCCAAGTGATTAAACCAAGTATGTAGGATTTGGGTTAGAATCATTGTGTCCGATCTGCAGGAATGCCGAGCTAGTGCCAGCCCCCTTGGCAGGGACCCAGCCCAGGCCCTCTCTGAGCACGCCAGGACAAACACACTCTTCCCTGGGGGCAGCAGGCCCGCTGCAAAGGAGCAGCTCTGCTTCACCTTCTGCTCCTGCAAAGGCGGCCTTTGGAATGCACCCTCCAGGCCCAGGTGAGCCTAGGGCCCACTGGCCTCAGCTTGGCTCCCCACTTGGCATCTGTACTGCCCCACATTCTCATAGCCCCCTTCACTAGGCATTCTACATCCAAATATCCCTTGTCCCCAGACTACCCTTTAGAGTGATCCAGGCCTACCAGAGTCAGTCTCAAGGATTTGGGATCAATCGGACTCTATCCCTTATGGGCTGTGTAAGTCATCCCACCTCTGAATGTCAGTTTCTTAATCTATAGAACAGACATAATAATACCTCATGGGCTTTTATGAGGATTAAAGCAAATTACATATTTAAAACACCTAGTCTGGGCACAATAGGTCCTAAATAATAGTTTTATTCCCTTGCCTTCCCTTGTCTACATTGACAGTCCTACCTCCTCTACTAGATGAGGATAGGATCCGTGTCTAACTCATCTTAATGTGCCTTTAGCATGCTGCCTAACCCTCAAAAGGTGTATGGTACAGTGTTAAGGAATGAATGAATGAATGACTATGAATGCCTGGCTCAGAACCCTTCCTTTGGGATCCCTAATATACATTACTCTTGCCTAGGATCCCCCTCATCTGCCCCTGGACTGGCATCTAATGACAACTCTCCTGCTGAGGCCCAGGGAACCCCAAACCACTGTCCACAAGCCAAGCCAACGACATGCCTGTGGAGCTCCAGGAGAGAGTGTGACAGGACTTTCCTTACTTTACCTCAATCTACTTTCCAGGACTGAAAATAGGAGATGAGGAGGGCTTCTCTATGCAACATGGCTTCTATTTTCAAAACCCTCCCTTCCCCTGAGTTTGAGGCATCCCTCCAAAATCCCATAGAAAGTACTGGGCTATCCCTGCTCAGCTGCCAGCCCTACCAGACCATGGGCAGGATGCCTCCCACATCAGGCTGGCCAGGTACGGGGTGAGGAAAGCTGTCCTCCACCCCAATCTGATACACACATACATACTGCTGTGTGAGGATCCTGTAACCCAGCGTCAGCTATCAGAGCCCAGAAGCCCAAGAGAAATGAATGAAAAGAAAAAGTATAGGAGAGGTAAAAACATATGACAGTCCAGGAGGTGATCTACTGTCTCCCTTACTGCAGATGATCTTAGATTCTGGGGGCCAGGTCAGAGGGTCCACTCGGAGTCCTGCCATCCCAGGAATGCCTTGTCTGTGTGTGTACACACACGTGTGTGCATTGGGGCAGCCTCAGAGAGCATGCAGGGAGCAGAACATAGGATGTCACACAAGCTACAGCTGAAGCAGGAGCTGAAGCCCACGCATGCACACACTGTGGCCCAGCCCCTGATGACTGAATGGGGCCACTCACCAGTAAGCGCCTGCAGTAGCCGAAGCGTCTGCTGCCATCTTCCCCAGTCAGCATGAAAGAAAAGGTCTCACTGAAACAGGGGGGGTCTGGCATCAGGGAAGTATCAGACAACCCAGGAAACAGCCTCCAAGAAGGGGGACCGCCATCCCAGGAAGGGGTGAAAGGCCAGGTAGCTAAGGAGGAGGTTGGGACTAGGATGGGCCCCATTCAGCTGCCCACTGCTTCAGGGGTAAGGGAGGCTACGCCCTGTTCCTGCCTCCGGCCAGGCCTCACCTGCTATACTCTGACACAGGGAGCCAGTCCTTGGCATCAGGGAAGCAAAACTGGGGAATGGCCTTGAGCCTCTCCTCTGCCTCCCGCATCTGCTTGGTGGGTCGGTCCAGCTGCAGGGAAAAGGAATATGGGGAGAGATCGACAGGAGAAGATGGGCGACCTGGATTGGTAGGGGTGGCCAACAGGCATCTCCTCCCCTGAGAGGCCTAGCTGGCATCCTACCAGCTGGCAGGCTTCTCAGCAGCCCCGTCCCCACCCCCAACTCTTACAGAGAGGTCTGGGTGAGGGTTGAGTCATCATTTATTCATTCAATATAAGCCAAATGAGCACTTTCCAGGTGGGACCTGGCACTGTGCCATATGCTGGGGCTACCAATGGAAAACAAAGTAGACAGGGTCCCTGTCCCTGCACATTCTGGTCAGGAGAGGGACAGAATCAACAACACAATTTCAGCAGGTGCCCTTAAGGAAATACACAGGGTGACAGGACAGACAGAACTGGATGGGGAGAGGGGCTACTTTAGGGTATCTAGGAAGATCTCCAGGAAAGGGGGCCAGATTGGCTTGTTGGCAGTGAGCACAGAAGGAATGGTGAGATGAGACTGCGGGAAAAAGAGGTAACTACTCGTGAGTACAGGGTTTCTTTTGGGGGAAATTAAAATGCTCTAAAACTGATTGTACAACCCTGTGAATATACTAAAAGTCACTGAATTGTACAATAATGTGGCTAAAAAAGAAGAGAAAGAAGGTAGGAGAAGCAATTGATGGCCCTTCCTCAGGACCCCTGCAGTCCTGTAAACAATGTGGATGTCATTCTAAGCACACTGGGATGTGCTTTCTCCGCCCAGACCTGCCCCCTCTGAGGCCCTCTCCTCCCTCCTGTGAGCAGCCAGGCTCAGGGATGCTAGCGGGGCAGGTCGCCATGGCAGTATCAGCACGGGCTCTTTCTTCCTCCCCAGACAGGTCAGCAAACACAGGGGGAAAGAGGAGGGGCGGGGTGGGCTAGAGAGGGAGGGCCTCACCTTGGGGAACTGGTAAGAGACCTCAGGGAGGTAGGTGCTTCGGGATGGCTTCTTCTTGAGGGACACCACCACAAAGTACTCAAAAAGCTCCCGCTCCTGCCACTCAAGCAGCTCCAGCTCCAGGGTCCGATAGCTGGGGGCACGCTTCAGCATCGACTGGATGTGGACTAGGCGCTGCGTGTGGGCTGGGGGCAGATCATATATCAGGGGACAGGCAAGCCGGACCCTCACAGACCCCACATCAGCCCCCATCCCAGACTCAGGGTTCGATCTCTATGGGTCGCCCCTAAATGTATGAGCCTAGTCTGAACCCTCACACAGCTAGGTTTGGAGAAGTGGCAGGAGCAAGGTGTCTATGCCTGCACAAAGGCTCTGCCCTGACACAGGGAGCTTCTAGTCTGAGCCTCCTAGAGCCTCTGGAGGCTGAGCTGGGACCAACAGGACTACGTAAGCCCGGCAAACCCCGGGATGCATCACAACAACCCCAACCCCACCCCTACCCTGGCCCCTACAACCAACAGAACTATAAGAGATGAACAGCCATGAAGGCTTCATCCTGGGCCCCTATCAGAGTCGCTGGACATGGACCCTCTGTCCCTGTCCTCAGACCCTAAATCCTTGCCCACCTGCCTGGAGGACCAGTGGATGAATGAAAGAGGGAGCCAGCTCCCACATACTTTAATCATCCAGGAGGGTGCAGGCAGGGTTTCTCAGTGGAGAAAGAACAGACACTTGTCCAAGGCCTCTGGAATGTGAAGGTCCAGAACCTTTTCAGGGAGGTGGCAGTCCTCTTTTCTAGGGACAGGGGAGATGGCTTCAAGGCCTCTAGAGGACTGGTTTTCTCACACTATGGCACATTTATTGCAACCAGAAAAGGTACTTGTAATCTAAACCCATCTCTGACCCTCCATATTCACAACATTTACCAGATCTAACATCCAATTCTCATGAACAATGGCTTAGAAAAGTATGGGCAGGGTCACCAGCCCTCAACTGGGGCAAAAGGAGACATCTGAATTCAACCTCACAGCGCTGAGTTCACATGAAGTAGGAATGGACTCCCCTACAACCCCTTGCTCTGTTGGCCTGGTATCCTGTCTGCCTTCTGCCTCTTCAAACCAGGCCAATCTGGGACACTGGAACTGCATGTGCAGAAGAAGGGAAGGCTGATTGTCTATAGCCAGGGCTGGGAAAGGGTTCCATGCTCCTGGGGAGCCATGCCTCACCTTTGAACCTGTCGTCAGAGTCGCTCTCGCTCTCACTATTCTCATCTGGAAAAGTAACAGCAGGTGTGCACGCTTGCTGAGCCACTGCCCCGCAGCAAGTTGTCTGTGTCCCCCCCAACTCCTCTCACAGGGATGGGTGCCTCGTCTGTGTTCCTAGGGGCTACTGCCAGGCACTGAGTGGCCTGAGGCCAGGGTCCCTCAGAGCTCAAATGGCAGGTGCTAATAATCTATTCGCAAACCCCTATCCATCCAGTCCTGATCTGGGGAAAGAGGAGGGCTCAAGTTAGAGGCTGAGCCAGCAGAGGCCTATGGGCCTGGAACATAGGGTCCTGCTTCCAGGAGGCCAAGATTTGAAATGGGAAACAGACCACAGCACTGTCTGGCTTTTCTTTCTGCCAGCGCAGACTCCCACACCCGCCTCCCCACTTAGGGCCTCACAGCCCAAAGTGTGAACTAACCCATCCCAGGACTTTCTCCCCTTTTTGGCCCTCACCTCTGTGTGGCCACTAGAAGGCAGGAGGATCCTGTGATTGGCCCGTGGAAGGGTAAACTTTAGGCTAATCTATGCGTCTCCCATTCTTAATGCCAAGGGCCCCAGACACCTGAACCAACTCAGGCATCAAGGCCTACCTCTCAGGGATGCTGTCTCAATGCTGGACATAGACAGCTTTTTTAACCTCTTCTTTCCCCTCTTGGCATTGTAGATGGAGTTAATTCTTTGGACAAGCTGGGTGAGAAAAAGAGGGAGGGTGAGGTAACCCTAACACCAGCCGCCCTGCTTCCAAGAAGTATGATAACTGGTCCATCTGCTGCCTTACTGATGCAAGCTTTTCACCCTCCCCACACCAGGCCCAGTACTGGTCTCTCTGCTGCACAGACCAATACTGCAGACTGTCTGGTAGCTCCCCACCTACCTAGCCCTCTAAGTGGTCTCCTGCCCCAAGATAAGGGCATTAAACTTAGTTCGCCAGAGGAAGGAACTGAGATCCAACCAGACAGGATGAGAGTTCTTGGGTCCCAGGAGTCACTACACCAACTGAGACAAAGAGCTGCTCAGATGAAATAACAGGAACAAGGATTCAAGCCTCTCCCCTCTGGGCTACAGCCTGGGGCCCCAACAGGAAGGAGCTAAATTCCCAATATACTCCAGCATTGTTTGCAGGCTAAAAATACCATCTGGCTAAATCCTGCTGGGCCTGGTTGCCTACATATTCAAATCATTGCTGAAAACTCTCAATTCTGAGAGTTACAGAAAGGAAGACCCATGTTTGAGTCCTAGGGTCCTCAAAGACCTGGAAATGTCTATGTGTGCACAGAGACCTCAAAATGAACACCCTACACTCACTAATGGGGAGTCTCCTAAGGACTGGTTTCTATCCACCCAGTGGCATGCAGTGCTCCCTAGGGGCAGAGCTAGCCTGTCCTTCCCCTAACATCTGTGCACCATTACTCATTTAATTCATCTTTATTGATAAGAAAAGGGAAAAACCAGATGACAAAGGCCAGTGCACGGGCTCAGAATCTACTCAAGAACTGAAGAAGCAGCCCAGATTAGTGAAGGCAGGAAGTGGGAGAAGAGCCATCCACATGCCTGCCTGCCTGCCTGCCTAGCCCCATCAACTCCGTCTAGGGACGCTACCTTGGGAATGCGGCGGGCCCGGCGGCTGGACAGCAGCTCACTTGTAGTGCTGAGGCTGTCCTCGTTGAGGCTGGAGGGTGAGGATGGCAGGCTCAGCTGAGCCAGCAGCAGCATGTCATCATGGCTGTGCCTCTTGGGTAGTCGTGGCAGCCGATGGCTTTTCCTTTCTGACCAGTTCCCACTCCGCAGGGACTGGCTGCTGGGTTTCAGGGACAGCTGGCATTGCGGAGAGGGGGTGGGAGAGGGGCTCACCATAAATGCGTTGGCTGGCACCCCATGTCTGCTGGGGCTGGACATGGAAGCCAGAGGCTGGCAACCCTGGCTTCCCCAAATCCCACCCTGGAATTTCTATCTGCTGGGGTATCCTCTTTTGAGACCTCAGCTGCAAACAGTAGGTCAGGGCCAGGTGAGATACTTGCATCTGCAAAGGAAGCTTAACTACTTCTGCCAGAAAAGAAGCTAGCAGAGGCTAAGAAAACTGGGCTCTCATCTGAATGGAAAGAGAAGGACAAGAGGGATTTCTGCGGCCTCCCCCTGAGTGCTGAGACAAGGCTTATACTTTGCTTATTACTGAGCCTGGCCGATGGAACCAGTCTTCCCCACTCAGCCTGATCCAGTCCTGAAAGTTCCCCCTAGCAGAGGCTATAATCTCTACGCCAGCCTGGCCCTGCTCTCTTCTTCCAGGGAGAACACAAGGGCTCCAGGCTCTCTCCACCAAAGCCCAGCAAGGCAAGCCTGACAGCCAGCTGGCTCCCCTGCCCACACAGTTCTGGGCTGCTGCCTCCCCTGCCTGATCTACTTTTCTGCCTCTCTCTGTCTATTCTGATACATTTAACCTTTAAGCATGAGGGCAACTCACTCTGGCTCACTGCCAGAAAGGCAGCCCCCTGCAAACCAGGCATGCCTCCCACTCGCTGTCTGGATCTCGCATTGCCTCTCATCACCTGCCAGCAAGTCCTCCTTCCTCCTGTCCCCCAGTTTCCTCTTGCCACCCAATCAGTCTAGCAATACAAACCAATGGAAGCCTGTTTGAACAGAGCACATTAGAAAGGTAAATCTTTTATAAAAATAATCACACCATTCTAAAGCCAGAGGCATTACTTTTTATATTCTCTAGCCAATGTTGTAACACATCTAGAAGACTCTTATTTGCATAGAGAATTAGAGCTGCCTTGGTAGGTCTGAGAAAGCATCTCCACTCTCCTGCTCCCTGTCTACCTTGCGCAAGGCCAGAGTGAGGCAAAATCTACTGGCTTCCTTTGACTCTTCACCTTTCTTTTCTCATTCATTCTGCCTTCTATCAGTCCTTCTATTCCTTGGAGATTTGTTCTTATTCCTTCTAGCAGAAGTGGCTCCAGATCTCAGAGATACCAGTTCAGCTCTCCAAATCTGGTTCTTGGGCCTCTGCCTGGTCCCCAAATGCTAGCTCTGCCAGAGCTGCATAATACCGACACTCCAGCCAGGGCCCTGCCTCCCTGTGTCCCACAGAAGGGGAGGAGGACTAATGGTGAGACAGGAGACTACAGAGGCTCCTGCCTTAGTTTTGCAGCTCAGAGCTCGAGGAGTGAAGGGAAGAGGGTAGGACAGGATGTGCCTGAGATGTCTCGATTGTCCACAAGGATCATGACCCGGCAGAGGTCTGAGGGCAGAGCTCTTTCCTGAGGCCACCTCCTTTGCCAAGCACTGGTGAGGGACAAAGCCCGAGGGGAGGCTGGCCTAAGCCTTGATGGGACAGTGGCCCTCGTGCCAAACCTGCAGGCCCAAGTCGAGGCTGCCGTTACCTGAGAGGGTGGGCTGTTGTACTTCCTGTCCTGCGGACTCCACATCCTGTGCAAAGAGTCCAAGGAGTTCTCAGACAGTTGCTGGGATTTCCGTCCTGCTCTTCGGCTCTTTAATTCCACATCCTCATACGGATTCTCCTTGGGCAGCTCTCCTGTAGAGGAGGAAAAGTTAGAGGAGGAGGAGAAGGGAAGAAGGAAACACACACACCCACACGCACATACAGATAAACAAGCAGAATTCCTGTGAAGCAAAGAGAATGGCTTCTGCCTGGCCCTTCAGCTCATGAGTCATGCTGCCGCCCGTCTGCAGTGTGGAGGCTACAAACAGATCCCGGCTCCAAGACCAGAAGCTGAACCCCCCACCCTCAGTTCAGCTCAGCCTTGTCTGGCCTCTGCTTTTAAATTCAGGGATTGCACAAGACTGGCTCAGCCACCCCTGCCTGTGCCCGACAAGAGGACAAAGCCAACACTAGGCGTCTCTCTTTGGCTCTGGTCCCTCTGCTGTGAAAGCCCCAGAGATAGATGGTTCAAGGTAGGAAAACTTTCAGAGGTGACACAGCTATTCCTTTATCAACTGCTTCCTGAGACCCCCTTTGGGGGGATGGGTGTGGAGGAACTCTACAGGCCCCTAGGGAGCAGCGCTCCACCAGGCCTCCCTCTCACCTATTACACTGCTCAACAGTTCCTTTAGGATGGCAGGTCTTTTGTCTGGCCCACTGATATAACACCAGAACAGTGATTAGCAAGTGATCATTGTTCAATGAGCCCTCTTAATACAGTGTCACTCTATCTCCTTTACCACTGATACAAGCAAAAAGGGAATGGTCATCACTCCCTTTTTGGAATAAACTCTCCTGCTATGACACAGGGCAGGTGGGAAAGGCTTGAAAGGAGTCTGGACCAAAAAAGCCTTGCTTGTCAGGACTAATTTCCAAAATCCCGGCACTAGACCCTGAATTGATACTACCAGACAATCACAGAGAGCCCAAAGCACAGTGTCTGCCCTTGAAAAGCAACCCCTTCCCACAAGCTATGCCCTCTTGCCTCTTTCCCTCCAACACATACCCGGACTTTTCTAATATACAATAATACCATGAGCCAGGCCAGTCCTGCTTCAATCCAGCAGAATCACAGTGATGAGTGAACAAAACCCTCGGGCTCCCTTTCCCTGGTCTTCCCATACCCCCCTCCACATTAACACTAGTATCTAGGGCCTGGGACCCAGGTACCAGAGTAAGGCTTTGCAGGTGGACCACACACAGCGAGAACAGGGTTCCCTCCAGCCTGTCTGTTCAGCAGCAAGACTGAGCTGGGTGACCACTGAGCCCCACGGGTGCCTGGATGTGCCTCACACCGCAGAGGAGTTCCGACACCACTTTTCAGGAAACAGGAAGAAGGCAAAGCTATGGGACTATACTGGGAGTGTAAGCTTTCCTAGGAGAGGAGCCAGGAGGAGCACCAATCCCTACATGCGTACAGATTTCTCAATGTCCAAAGCTCAGAACCTCCCAAATTGTGGTACCTACTTACTACTATTATGAAAAACCACAGTGAGTTTAGGAAATGCCTTTGCAGAGTGGTAGGGAGAGGGTGTGTGGGGAGTGTGAAGGAGCAATTTCAGTCACAGCTAATTAGACGGCCATGGAAGCAGTACAAATCTCTATAAACTAATGAGTCAAAGATGGGTCAAGAAAGAATTTGGGACTGGATTAAGTGATTCCCATCACCAAGCAAAGTCCCCAGCAACTGAGCAGACATATTCCTGTAACACAGTCATGCTATGAAAATGACTTGTCTCCATTCCAGAGTCCTGACTAAGCAGAACTGGCCCAGCAACCCTGCCTCAAGAAGCCAAGTATCAAACCTGGCATCTCCCCTGCATGTTTTCTCCAGCCTACCCAGCTGTGGGCACTTAGTCCCCGAGAAGCTAGGATAGACTCGGTTCTTCTTGGTCCTTCTCCCACATATCCTGCTGTGGTGAGGGGGGAGCAAGGACTGGAGAATGCCACGCAGGACACACAGTCTTCCTGATCCTGTGCAGTAGAACCAGAGCATCACAGTTCAGTTGGGGGCAGGCAAACATTTATTCCAAGCTCATCAAACCCAAACAGCCTTGGGCCAAATGACAAGACAGTCCTTACCATCATCCCCTAAAGGATAACCTTGTCTCAACTCTTTTAGATCAGAGTTTCTCCAAATGACTGACATTTTGGAGTCTACATTCCTGTGGTGGTGGGCTGTTCTGTGTATTTGCAGGATGTCTAGCAGCAGCCCTGGCTTCAGCTCACCCTGGCCCTAGATGAGTTGTATCCCCAGTTATAACAAATAAAAATGTCTCCAGACACTGTCAAATGTCCCCTGAGCAAATGGATGGATAAGCAATGGATGGATGGATGGACAGATGGATGGAAGAAAGGGAGGGAGGGAGGTAACAGGGTAGGTGGATGGGAAGAAAGGTGGACAGATGAAACTGCCCCTGCCATTAAGAACCACTGCTTTAATTAAATGTTTCTACATTTCCTAATAGCTTCTGAGGGCCATGACATGAGTTCCAACATAAATCCCTTTTTCCTCCATCCTTCCCTCCTTCCTCTCTCCCTCCTTCCTTCTCTCTGCCTTTCTTTCCCAAGAATCAGAGCTTTGAACATCTATACAAAATCCAAAGCTCTAAAAAACAGATGTAAGAGACTGAGGCCCAAGGAAGGAATACATGCACAGTGTTGATGGGTATCAGTGACAACCTGGGGGAAAACTTGAGAAGGTCAGGTTTTGAAATCTAGTATTGCCTTTGGAAACTAAATTTCAGGAAATCCTCAAGTACCTGCTCCTCCTGCCTTCCCAGCCCCAATACCATCTCTTTTTCTCTCCAGCAATGTTGAGCACCCTGGCTGATACAACCAGGCCATCAGTCATGTCTCCAGGAAATAACTGCTGGCCCCGGCTCAAGCCCTGCCTCCCCAGCCTGCGCCTTCACAGCCCTAGGTCATCTGTAACTCAGCTTCCTACACTGTTCCTGAATATTCTTTTGGAGCTCTCTCGCAGGTATTTCCCATCATCTCTCCAGGTAGTAAGGGTGCCAAGGGGACAGGGATGTACAGAGACAAGCAGGCCGTGAGTCTGAGAGCCACTACACTGAACCTGCTGGGAATGAATTAATCCCAAAGCAATGGCTCAGACTTGGGAGAGGAGAGCTGAGAAACTGGGGTCAGAATGTCCTCTGGGGGAGCAGCAACACAGCAAGACTAGAGAAGCTAGAGCTGAGTAGAGAAGCGTGGTGAGGATGTGGCAGGGGCACGAGAGTGACAGGAAGCCTGGCAGACTACATGACTTTCACCTGCATTCCTGCCCACGGCTTCCCGGTGGGCCGTCCACACTGTCCTTGAAGAGGGAGAAGAGGTAGGCCCTCTTCCCCAGAGGCCTGGCCCTGAGCAGCCCCATCTCATCACACCCAGCTGGGGAAGCCAGAGGTCTTGACCCTTCCCAGCTTTGCTGATGAGATAAGCGACAAGGGCATCGCCAAGAATTTCTGCTTTGCACTATTTTAAAGGGGCTCGATCAGAGCCCAGACTTACCATACTGGTCCTCCCGAAGGAGGAAACCAGCCCACTGGGCCCTGCTCCCAACTCCTGTGGTTATTAACCACATGTAGCGAGCCCCTGTTCCTATCCCCCCAACACGCACACACACCAACTGGAAGAACCAGTCAGGGAGGGGGTGGGCATGTGAGTGTGTGCAGGAGGCGTGTGCACAGGCACTGAGAACTTCCCCAAAGAGAATCCTAAATTTCCTGGACCACACCCATGGCTAGGGCCCCGGGTCTGTAGCTTCCCTCCCAAACCTCTCTGGGGTCCAACCAGCTGTTTCTTCTGGTTCTCAGCCTCTTCACCTCCCACACAGTGGGGAGAAGGCCAAGGTAAGGGATTAGCTCCCCACAAAGCACAGCACATCAGATGCGGGACTCTTAAGGGGCTAGTTGTTACCCACTCTCCAACCGTGGTCACCATCTCCCAATTGCCTGGGCGCTGTGCCTGGGCTGCAGCCTCTACACTGTTAGGTGGCCTCTATTCCTTATGATTTCCCAGCCTAGGGACAAATGAGAGAAAGCAGAGAGCAGAGGCTCAAAAAGCTTTGCAGTGAGGCTGACTGGCTCTGTCCCCAGCTTCCAACCCGCAAGTTCCTGGAAACTCTCCCTCAGCCCTAGCTAGCTGATGGGAGTGGGAATCTCAGCAGGAATGCAGCCCAGGCTCCTTGGTCAGGCGCCGAGGCCATTCACATAACTCCCTAACAAGCTGTTTCCTTGGGTGCATTTTTAAGTGTCAGGCTCAGAATGCAAACGATTATAAGGCTTTGTAGAAGAGCAGCATCTTCCAGGGGCAGATGTCAAGTTGAACAGGCAAGAATTAACAGTCTCGGGAAGCAGCAAGGCAGTAGCTTTATTTTTGAACCCCCTTATTACAAATAAGCAGGATAAACCTCAGCCTATTTTGAAGTACCCTACCCCAGCTCCCCAAGAGTCATGCCTGGTGTGGGTGGGAGGCCAGCAAACTTCCCAAGGCCCCTTGTTCAAGTTCATTGCTCACAGAGAAGATATGTTAGTCTCTGGGCCAACTGGCCCTCAGTCTCTAAGAGACTAGGAACTCCAGTTCAGTCCACTGGTTTCTCAGTTGGAGATTTAGCATGGGTCCTCTTTTCCCCTGCTGGAGCTCCATTACACACCCAAAACGAAGCTCCACCTGTCCCTATGGAAGTGGGGCAGCACAAGAGCGAGAAAATCCAACAGAACTAGAAACTACCTTAACACAGAGCACAGTCGGGCCAAGAACAGAGGGAAGGCTCCTGGTAAGTCCAAGCCACTGGTCAATAGGAGGCAAAAGTGAAACTGACGGAATATAGTGAGGGGCGCAGAGCTGGCAGTGCCTGGGACACTGCAGTGGGGGGAGTTCAGCAACAAGGGTCCCCCTAAAGTTTCTGGAGGGTGGGGGCTCCAAATTCTTGGGCCTGTCTCCAGGGAAGGAGAAAGGGGGAAATCAACTAGAGCTTAAGAGAAAGAGATATTCTCCCTTGTACTTCCCTCTAGCCTCCCTGGTCAGGTCTAGAAATTCAGATGGGGCTACTGTGCAGGATACACAGAGGATCAACCACCAAGCCCAGATGCTGAAACCCACCCCCACCCAACAACGCCAAAGCCAAGCCCAGGAGTCTGGGTCCCTCCCCTGCCCTCCCTCCTCCCTCCTTCCCCCACTCCCCATCCCCTGCTCCAAAGACCCAGAAGCTAGCGGAGCAGCTACAGAACATGCCCCAACTCCACCCTCACGCCGTGCTAGCCCTTACCCTTAGCTCTAGCTCATCCACACAGGACATATCCAAGATGCTGCTCTATTTTCTTGCCTCCTCATGCAACATCCCAATGTGGCAGAAAGTCCCCTCTACCAGGCGAGGAGGCTGAGGCCCAGGCACACTTACCTCCCTCTTCTTCTTCTCTGTAACCTGACCTAAGAAGGCCCAGAGAATAGACCTGTTGCCTGTGACTCCAAATTTTGCCTCCAAAATTCTCAACCCCCACCACCAGACATTGCCCCCAAACAGTTTTGGAATCATGCAACTCTAGATAGGGTGAAATGGTTGAGGCATCCTTTTCTCTTATTTCAGGTCAGTAGGTGCAAGAATATTCCCCCACCTGAAATACCCCAGCAGCAAGGAAAGGCTGCTGAAAGCTTCTCAGGGAAAAAAGAATATATTGAGGGCTGCGGAGCTGGCAGTGCCTGGGACACTGCGGTGGGGGGAGTGCAAAACGACAGCCTCCACTGTCGGCTGCAGCAGCCACACTGGGTGCTCCCCAGGGCTCTGCACAGCAATGACACATTACAATTTCTTTCAAACTAGAGGAAATGAGAATGTACTCTGCAAGAGGGAGGAGAAGGAGATGGGGTTGGGCCTCTGATCCCCACAACTCTTGACCTCAATTCTGGGTGACCTGTGTATATAAAGCTTTTTCCCACTCGTAAGGGAAAAGGCCTCCCTCCCCAAACCCTTTCACTGTTCTAGGGATCTCACTCCCCCAATCTTCCTGTTATGAACTCATTTTGGATGGCTGCATACTATATACTCCCTTTCTGGGAAAGCAGTATCAATGTGAATCCAAGCAGTGTGGCTGTCTCCCCAGAAATGCTGGCCCCCAAGTGTACAGAGGAAACTATGAAACTGATGACTCAGATCAAGTGAGGAAAGAAACGACCCTCTCTTCCTCAGCTTCCACAGTGTTATGAGAATCTGGAAGGTTCTCCACTAGGGCCACTTCTCTCTCTCAACTGTTAACCAAGACTATGTTCTCTAGCCTCCAGGCCTAAGACAGAGGTAAGACAGGGAGGGACGAGAGAGGGAGAGGTCAGGTACACAAGCACATTGCTTCTCTTCAGTGGCCTACATGGGATACATGCTGAGCACAGCTGAAGCCCCCACCAGAGAAAATGAAGCCAGACTTAGATGAAAGGCAAAAATTAACCCAACCTTCCCTAGACTACTGGTTTTTCTTTGACCCTGGAACACAAATTTGCCTACACCACATCCTCCCAGTTGTCAGAGGGCATTTCTCTATGGTTTCTTAAATTTCTGATCTGAGCAAGAGGAATTAACCATTCCAGACCATCTTCTCAAAGATGATTATGTAGTAAACAGCCTTGGAAGATGGAGATAGTGTTTCCCTTCAGCACAGAGGCAGATTGTTTCCTACCAGAATAATAAGGATAATTAAACGTCTCCTTTGGGGCAAAGTTGGCCAGGTTTACTTGAAAAGACTGGGGCTTCCCACTGTAGCTGAGCATCTACCTGGACCTCCTCCCCACTGCCTCATGGGACTCGGGAGCAAGGATAGACTGTATGAATGTAAAGCTCACGTTGCCTGCTGCACCATGAGTAATAAATGCCTTTTCCTGTGAGCCAAGGGTCTTGTGTCTTCTGCCAGCACCTGTGACACCGAGGCAGGCTAAACCTGTAAAATCTCAGTTCTTTCACCAGTTCTTGATACCACTTACTTAAAGGGAAGTGAAGGAGAGATATATATTAAGGACCAGGCACTGTACCAGGTACTCTGATACATGTTTTATCTCAATCCTATGAAGGGGTATTACTATCATTATTGTTGTTGTTAACATCATAGCATCATCATTGTCATTTTAAAAGAGAAACAGAGGCCTCAGAAAAGTTAGATTTGCCTGAGGACACATAGCTGAGCAATGGCACCTGCTGAATGAACCCCAAGGCTTCCGAAAATAAAAGAAAGGGAATACTGTGGGCTTATTTTGTTATCCCAGAAGCCCTTTGGGTTTCAGTCCATTCAAGACCAGGCTTTAATCTCCTGGCTGCTCAATCTGTGCTAAACTGTTTCCTCAGATGCCCAACTCCTTGAGAAGTTCCAGAAGCTGGGCCCTGTCTGCTCACAGTGAATGAGGTAGCGCCTGGGAGCGTCCCTCCTGTTCGTGCTCTCCTGCAGCCCCCAGAGAGGACCCAGCCCGCAGCCTCTGCTGCTCCTTACCCACAACATCTTCATAGGCATTCTCTTCTAAAGTGCTTTTGGATCCCAACTTGGGTTGGCTCTCAGTACCATTTTCAGTGGGAGAAGAGGGGTACAGGGACTGGAGACTGGATGCATCTTCAAACTCAAAGGATTTTCTGTGGACAAGAGAGCACAAGTCATTCCAGCTGAACTAGATTCCTGCTGCCTTGCTGGGGAGTGTCCTTGTTGGGCCATGAACAGCAAAGACCAGATACAAAGCATCAAGACAGATACAAATTTACCATCCAAATGAAAAGAGAGATGGTCTGAAAGGCCCCAGCCTGTGTGCCTACAAATAATACCAACAGTGATTCCCACAACTGCAAAGGGTGCTCCATGTCAGATACTCTGCCAAATGCTTCACGTTTTCTTATTAATATCCAAAATGCTGCTACTAGGAATTGTGCCATTTTATGAAGAAGATGGAGGCTCAGGGAAGTGAAATGATGGAGCAGGAGGATACAAAAGGTCCTACTCCAGGGTCTGAGCTTTTGATTGAGCTTCCAAGCCCTGGAGAGTATCTTCCTAGATAAGTACCTGTTGCTACCACAGAAACTGAGTGCCTGATCTGGCTCCAGGGTCTCTCATCGTGCTGAATTCTAGCAAGGGCTCCTGCACTAAGCAGGCAGTAACACTGGACACAGGGGGTGCCCAGGGCCATTTGGGGGGCAGGAAGGTGGGTGTTTTGTTAAAACAGGAAAAGGCTAAGCCCTCAAAACAAATCACACCACTTCTGAGGTAGAACCAGGAGGGCAATTTGTACTCAGAAGCTACTTCCAAGACCAGCTTTCCCTCAGCTAGTCACCTGTTCCTTTCCATCCCCCAAATAACCTTCCTTTCCACTGCAGAATAGCAAAACCACAGCTTGTCAGTGCATCAGAGCTCACAGCTGTCTCTACTCTCCTTCATCAGGGAGATACTGCCCTCCTTTAAGACTTGGCCTGCTGCATCCTCTCCTTCTCCATGGCAGGTCTCAGCAGTGGGAAGGATGAGGAGAGGCCCGACTGAGTCCTTCCTGTCAGCCACTACCACCTCCCTTCCAGCCAATGAAGAACTTTCTCTCTTATTTAATGAACAGACCCTCCTGAGAGTCCCGGGGAGCAGCAGATCAAGGACTAGCCGTGTCCTGAAGGCCACATCTGGTTCTCCATGTGCCTGGCCTCTCTACAGCACTTGACATGCCTGAACACTCCACTCAGCACCCCCGCCTCATCTCTGTAGCACATTTAACTGCTTCTCTGGCAATTAATTGTCAGGCTTTTAGGAGGGATTCCTCTTTTCCACTTGCCTTTTAAATGCCAGGGTCTCTCAGAGTTCTATCTTTGTTACTTTCTTTCCTGTGCTATACTTTCTGGGGGCAAAATACTGATGGCCATCACCCTCTCTACCATTTCTACCATGACAGCTCCCAAATCCATCTCTGGCCCAGATTTCTAAACCAACTATATCTAATGCCTGAGCACAGTGATTCCTGAATGTTCGGGCCCACTGACCACAGATGGTCAGTGAAACCAAGCTTTCACTGACATACATAGTGGGGTCAACATCTTAAGCAGGTATTCTGAAGTCAGCAAATAAGACACAAACTATGTTCTGTCAAATTATCCTGGAAAATCCCTTGAGGACCAACACGCTGTCTTTATTAAGACTGTTACAGTCAGTTTCTCCCCCAGATTTTTAAACAGCCTTTTCTTTGGTTGAATACCAGAAGAAATATTTGCCTTGTATTTTTTAAAAATTAAAATGTACATTAAATATAAGAATCACACCTGGCACAACAGATACAAACTTACCATCTCACGCTCCTCAGGGAACTATGCTTTATGGAGAGGCAAATAAAACAGCCTATAGGTTTTGAACTGTTTTTTTTTTTTTTTAACAAGAGCACAGGTTTAAATTTGATAAATTAATTCTTACATGAAGTGACTCCACCTTACATGGTATATGTATGTATACAGATTATATTAAATGTAATGTGTTTGGGAGTATGTGTAAAACCTTCAGGCCAATGTTCTCACCACCTTTTTGACCTAGCCAACTGCTTTTTGCTCTTCTAAATTTAGCTCAGCAACTCCCTCTACAAGGAGGCTTCCCTCACTCCCCAGTCTAACTTGTATGCCTCTTCCTCTTGGTCTCTGCAGTGCTCTACACTGACATGGATCATGGCACATAGCACAACATCTATGATTTACATGTGCATTTCTCTCTTGCACCTTATCACAAACTCCTTGAAGAAGAACCATATGTTATTTGCCCCTATGTACCCTTGACCAACACAAAGCTTGGTGCACAGCAGGCTCTAGGTGGGTGTTTATGGAAATGGATGGATAAAAGACAAGGCAAACACTCCTGGCAGGCTGCTGAAGACTTAGGAGCCAGTGAGCAAGTTGGCGTGGGCCAAAACATGGGACTGCCCTTTGCCTAGGACTCTTCTTGTTCATGGGTCTGAACCTTTATGATGTCTTCCTCTCTGCACATGGCAGGAAAGTTTCTATATGAGATGGAATATGCTGGATGAAGCCTGGAGTCTGGGGTCAGATCAAAGGATCCCCAGAAGTGAAACAAATGTGAATGTACATCTGACTTCGAGTTAGAAGAGAAAGGCAATGAGGAGTAAAGAGACAGGCCTTCCAAAGGAAGCTAGCTCTCAGCCTACCCCAATTCAGAGAACAAGAGGCCTGTCAACTTTCACCAACTCCAGCAGCTGCAGGTCCCCAGTCACTATAACTGTGAAGATGGCCCAGGTAGTCCACGGTCAGGAATACTGAGCTGACCAGGAAACCAATATGAGTTTCAGGACAGGCCATCCCTGGACATGGCCAAGAAGTAGGTGAAATGTTCTTTCACTCCTTTTTCCATCAGTCTCCATTTTCAGGATCTAAGGATTTCCCCTTCATAAAGGCCCAAGGTTCCTATGTGGCCAGGCAGCCCTCAGAAAAGAGGAAACCATGTTAAATGTATCAGTTCTACTGTGGTAATGATAACTTGCAGTATTCAGATTATGTTTCACTCAAAGAAATTAATTTCTAATGCTGGCATCTCAGGTAGTCATGAGGCTAAGATCCTACTGGTCCTTCAGGACTGCCTATTCCATCTAAAAGTAAGGTGGCCCCACCCTTCCCACAGAGGACTGAGGAAGTTCCCACAGGACGTGGAACACAGCCCAGCTCTACTCCAAAGATCAAACACAGCCAACATCTTCAGTATACAGCATTTGGAAGAAGCACTTTCACCCTCTGACCCATGTTATTAAATGTCCTTACCTGGCAAGAGCAGAACAATCTCTTTTCCACCTAACTCCTGTTACCACCTAACAATTATTCAGTGCTTTAGAACTTAGGAAGCACTACTGACCATGACCCACAACTACAATCTGCTTTTGCATCCTCCACTGGAAAGAAAGCCATTGTGTCCAGCTGTGAGACACTGCAGGGGCAATGATTACCTGCTCTGGGACTTGCGGTGACCACGCGTATCCTTCTTGGGTCTCCGCGTGACAGGTGGGGCTGGGGTGGAGGGCAGGGGGGGTGGAGCAGCAGGTATGGGTGAAGGAGGTAGACCATTGCTTGGCTTACTCTTGGGGTTCTTGTCAGCCTCATATTCAAAGGTGCGCTTGGGTTTGGGGACAGGGTTCACAGCGGGATCAGGGGAGCTCTTCGATGGCAGCAGGTGAGAGCTCGGGCTATTTCCAGGGATCCCTGGCTTAGCAGAGCCACTGCCTTCCTTCTCTGGGGGTGGGCCTGCCTCCCCGCCAACTCTGGCCACGCCTCCCACCCAGCTGCCAGCGGTCACACTCGTGCCCCCTGTCAGTTCCTCCAAGGTGCCCAAGGTCCCAGGCTTTCTTCTCCCTCGGTCTATACTGTAGCAGCTGCTGGGGAGCTGGGGGAGTCCCCGGCCTGGCTGCTCCTTCAGGGCCTGTTCAATTTTCTGGATCCGACTCAGCACTGCTGAGCTCTCCTTCCTGCTGCCAAGCCCCTTGAGGAAGGCACTGGGCTCACTCCGGCCTGGCCGTCTCTCTAGCCGGTAGAAAGAGTCCCGGACAGGGAGTGCCTCTCCCTCCTCCTCGGTCTCAGGGTAGGAACACTCAGAGAAGGTCCTGCTCATCCTCCGGAGGCCCTTGAAATCGAAGGTCTTTTCTGAGCTGCAGGGGGATGGCACCACACTGGGACAGCCCACACTGGGGCAGCCCTCACTGACCACCCACTCGCCCCCAGAGCCTTCCCGTTTCTCTCCACATATGCTCATCCTTGGTGAAGCATCTCGGCGACCCTCCCATGCTGAAATCTTCTCCCGGATGCCCAGGCTGTGGGCACGGGTGCCAGTGCGGTTCAGAAAGACACTCCGTGGACCAGCTGCAGGTCCCAGGGACGGAGTGCTCTGGGCAAGGGGGAGGCAAGCAGCTACTGCCTCTCCATCCTGGGCTGCCCCATGGACATTCTCCTGGTCTTCTCTCTTGCACACTGAAGGGCTTTCATCCAAATAACCAAAGCTGGTGGCCTTGAGGGGACAGATGGCTGGTGAAGTGTCTGAGGAGGGAGTTTGAGGCTTTGGGGGTGAGGGGTCACGGGGGTGCCAGTCTTTGAGGAGCAGCCGGGAGCTGGAGCGGCTTGGGTACCTGCAGGCTGATGTTTCACTGTCACTGAGTGGGTAGATGGGACTCCTCGGTGGGGAGAGAACTGGAGGTGGAGAGACTGACTGAGACCTAGGAGTGAAAAAAAAAAAAAAGGAAAATAAGAGAAAATGTCAGTGGCCTAACCAGCACAGGCATTGTATCTTATTCATAGGAAGCTCAGTATCTCTTTCCTGGAGGACTCTCAAGCTCAAAATACTCTATTCAAGTAACACACCTTTCAAAGCCATCCTCAAGGAAAGAAACAGCACCTCATTCACAGCAGACCAGACTCAGTGGGCCTCTCGGCCCTGTGCAGCCTCCGAGACTCTGAGTGCTGCCTGGAACAGAAGCTGGTTCTGTGACAGGTGAGAGCACTTCCAGAGTCTCCCCCTGCCAGCGTGACGGCAGTAAGGCAGGGGTGTGCTGCCAGGAGTTTAACAATTGGCTCTCTGGGGGAGGAAGTACAAATTTGTAGCATTTGCCAATTTCCGTAGTATAAATATTCCTATGGCTGATTTCAAGCTACCAATCAGACCTCACTGAGTGTGGAGTTGGGGAGACATACTAACGATCTGCTCTCGTGAGCTGCGCAAACACCTCTGGCGCACCACCTCCCAAACACACTCAAGCCCTTTGATCTCCCCTGTGACTTCTGCTACCAACCCAAGATACTGCACCTCAACTTGGATGTTGATCAGCATGTAGATCCCTGAAGGTCTCAAAAGGATCAGGGAGCCCCTCAAGAAGGTGTCCTTTCCAGGCCCTCCTGAGGAGGCTAATGGGGAGGGAAGCTACCTCCTGAGGCAGCTCTACCCTCCAGCGGCGGCACCCCACCAAACAAGCATCAGCCATTTCCCAGCTCCGGATGCACCTGCAGATCTTAGCAAATGTCAGGAGAAGTTCTACATAAATGTACCTACATATATTAACTCACTTAATCTTCCTAAAAACTCTGTAAGATTATCACTTACGATTATCCCCATTTTACAGATGAAAAACACTGTGGCACAGAAAGGGTACGTTCCGCATCCCCAGCCCCTCTGGGATGCAGTGGGCCAGGGGAGGGACTGACATAACTGTGCTGTGCTCAGAGGGGAAGCAGCAGCCTTTCCCATCTGTGTGGACTGCTGGGGCCCCAGACATAACTCAGCAAGAGCCACCACAGCCCCATCTCACACGTAGCATTTCTAAATCTCGGGACAGTCCCCCCTAGACCTCTAGACCTCCTCCCTAGGCTGTGGCTTCTTCCAAGTGGAGAGGCACACACTCACCATCTAGAAGGTGTCCAGTAGACAATGAACAAATGAAGGGAAAAGGTAAAGGTATGCCCACTGACAAGAACCACAGGCGTGCTTCCTTTTCGCTACACCTTCTAGCTGCCTACTACAGTAATCACTGTCAACTTCCAGAATTCTTCCCCAACAGCTTTAGTTTAAAGATAGCTCAGTTTTGCCAACACTGCATGCCACAAAGGGCTACCTGAGCCTACTGCCCTAGCCCTCAGCATTGGGCAGTCCAGCCATGCAAGTCCCAGAGGGCCATGCCATCCACAGGAAGACAGCCAGCTGCCCCGGAGCCAAGCTGCTGTCACTACTTGCTCACACACAGAAAACCAGAGCCTGGGTGAGTCAGGGGTTGGCCGACAATTCCCTGTTGGGTCACAGCCTCTGGCTGCCCCCGATCAACAGGAAACCTCAACATGCTTAAGTTGTTTTTAAAAGGGCAAGTCAAACAAGAGCCACCCCACGTGTACATGGGCACAGATGAGAGAAATCCAGTGCGCAGCCAAGCCAATGACCAAAGAGATTTTGCTTAGCAAAGAGGTGTGAAAATAAGCCCCAGCCCTCCATAGGGTAGGCAGCGGCAGGGCAGTGCACCAAACTTGAGCCTGGAGAGACCCAACCTACTCATCAGGAGAGGCCTTAGGTCCCTCATTTATTTTACAGACCCATGGATACAAAAGGTCATCTGTATAGCTCTGTAAGCCAGTGAGTGTCTGGGCTAGATAAGGATTCTATATTTAAGTTATTCTCAAATGGAGGTAGAAGAAGATGTCTTTATAAAGGACGACCTTATCATGTGTTACACTTAGTGAGCACCTAAGGTGCCAGGCCCTGCTCTAGGTGTGAGATGCAAAAATAAACAAAAAGAGATAAAAATTCATGCCCTTATGAAGCTTAAATTCTAGTAGGAGAAGACAGCACCCAAATGGGTCTCAGAATTGTTTAGGAAGCCTTTTCAAACTACCTACACCTCATCTCTTCAGACATTTGATATATGCTCCCCTAGAGATATGTCTCCTCAACCCCCAAGGCGAGAATTCCATAATATTAATAGCTATATTAATACCAGTACATGAAGTCACTATTACTTATGTGGGATGGGGGGTAGCGGGGGTGGCACGGCTCCTGGAGGAGAGGAAAAACATTGAACACCTCTAGTCTGTCTGATTCTAGCACACTTTCAGAAAGAATGACTCTGTAACTTCCCTTAGTAGTTTCAGCATGGAGAAACCGCCACAAGTTAGAAATACTCTCAATGCCTAGCCTGCTTAAACTGAGACTTAGTTTCTCTCCTTCTGTGAAGAACAGAAAGAGAAACTAGTCTGGCCCTTTCCTTTCAAAGTCCTAGTCCTCATATAGTTGTTCATCTGAGGCTCAGGGCTGCAACTGTGCCCTGCCCAGCTTTCCCACACAGGCCGTGCCCAATGCACAGCAACTCAGAATGGAAAGAGGCCCTGCCATACTGACCCGGAGTCTGGCCATCTCTGGGTGCAGTACAGAAGGGCAGCATTCACGCACTCCAAGGTCCTAAGGAGAAATCTGTAAACCACACAGATAAGACCCTGATCTCATGAGGTTACAATTCTCACTGGAGGACAGAACTCACTGCTCTCTCTCCTTATGTTTCTGATTCTACCTTTTTAGGAATGTGACCATGGGCACTTACTCTCTCTGAGCTTCCAGTTTCAATTCCTCAAAATTGTTCTAAGTACATCACAGGATTGTCATAATGGGCAAATGAGACTGTGGATGTCAAATGTTGTCATACAGTGCAACTCGCTATGACTGTTAAATATTAGTATTTAGTTTTTCACCAGGTCATGCTAGGCTGGTTGTTCTCAATAGAGGATAAGAACATTATGGCTTTAGAGTTCAGGTTTTAGCTAGCCACTGACTTTGAGCAAATAGCATTCTCTCTCTCAACCTCAGTTACCTTATGTGTAAAATGGACATTAAAAGAACATATCCAGAGAATTATTGTAAGTAATAGCAATAATAAATGTCAAGTGTTGAGTTCAGTGGTTAACACACAATGCTCAATCTTAGTTGGATAATGAGTAATATTAACAAGGTGCTGACTATTCAGAATAATCACTTGACAAACTTTTTTGAACAACTTACCTCTGTCCTTGGAGTGTAAATGTTGAGGGTGGAAGGAGGAGGGAATACATTAAACTTGGCCACAAATGCTTTGCAGCTAAGGCTCCCAAAAGGTGGAATTTATTTTTCTGCCCCTTAAATCTAGGCTGACCTCATGATTTACTCTTACCAAAGAATTTGGTGGAAATCAAGTTGTCCTAGTTCCAAACCCAAGACCTCAAGAGGCCTTGCAGGTTCCCACTTTATACACTTGGAATGCTACCCTCAGATTGTCACGTAAGGAAGTCACTCAAGTCTTTCAGAGGACGTGACACCATCTTAGACCCAGCTGAGCCCAGCAATACGAGCGAACCCAGGGGAAACCAGTGGAGGAACTGCCCAGTGAACACACAGCAATATGAACAGTACCATTGTTCTAAGCCATTAAGTTTTCAGGTGGTTTGCAACTCTACATAGTGAAATGATACAGGTAGGAAAGGCATCACTGTATATCCTTGGCCAGCCCGATCCCAGTGCAGAATCACTGCCCTGGGACTTCTGTCCCCAAGCCCCTCTCCTCTTCCTTACAGACCCGTCGTGATGGTCCTGATGTTGGAACTAGGTCTCTCTCACTACTAGAGGCTTTGGCACTCTTTTTAGGAGTCTCCCTGAGCATTCCCTGGAAATGGAGCCATTCTATAATCCCAAGAACCAGCTTCCATCACTCTTTGCTCCCAGGTTGAAGGAGGGCTCAGGAGACTGTTACCTAGACATCAGGGAGGTTAAGGAGGAACACTAGGGGGGCTAGTGGTCTCGAGGCTTGGTACTCTGTGACAATGAGTTTACACAGCAAATGGCATCTCCTTGGCATAGATGGGAGAGACTGCTCTCTCCTGGGCTTCAGTCTCACTCTCCAGCTGTTTCCCAGCTCTCAAACTAAGGTTAGAGTGAAAGTAAAATAATTATCTCCCCGTTGGGCAAGGGAAAACCACGGCTGAGTGAATGGCAGTGTCCAATCCGACTACAGACAAGGTGCCATTTGAGGCAGTAAGGGTCAGCAAAGACTGGTTAATTCACACTGGGAGATATGACAGCATGCTTGAATGATGACTGCAATGACCCAGCAGAGCAGGAAAAGCTGTCAGCGCAGGACAAGAGAAGGCAGGTGCAGGACAGACATCCTTGAGCAGGCCAAGGGGTGGGGAGTGGATGGGGGTCCGACACCCCTCTAGAAAGGCTGACCTTAAGAGAGGTGGCCTTTATGCTGCATGTACCATATCTCGAGTCTGGAAACCTGGGCTCTCCTCTGGCCCTGGTGCCGTCACCTCCTGGGTGTGCTCATGGGTATGTCATTCTAAATTCTCTGAGTCTCAGGTGCTTTAGAAAATGGGAAACACTTGATCTGGGTATCCTCACATACTAGTGGTGTGGCTAAGATGAGGGAAAGTGTCTGAATACCATAAATAGTTCCATGAAGGTAGAAGAAATATAAAAGAAAAGTAAATACAAAGCAGTTAAAAGATACCTAGCCTCTGCTCTGATGGGCTCTTGCTCTTTATTCTAAATACCAGAGCTTGCCCCTGGGGAGGCCAATACCATGAAACTGGGCACTTGTGCCCCTGCCTTATCAGCAGGCAGCCAATTCTGCAGCTCAGCACAGGCCTGGATGCCAGCGCTGCAGCACACAACTGGCCAAAAGCAACATTTACAGGACAGGGAGAACAACAA